CTACTAGTAAATAAACAAAACTACTTTAATTTCTGTCAGTTGTTGTTGGAAAAAAACGTATTTCTCTTGCAGTTTTGTACTAAAATATTTTCGTACCCAGTTTTACAGTTACAGACAATTTCCTCTGAAACCAAAACTTTTTTTAGAAAAGGTATAAAACTTTCTTGTTTATTTTTATTTAATTCTTATTTCAATTATCATTGTTATAATTGTTTCAATCTAAAGAACAGGCAGAAATATGTAGAAATAGATTAACAACTGACCAGTGCAGATTGCAAAATAGTGTGATACATTTTTAACTTTAAAAATAAAGAAGACATTAATGACTATAATAGGAAATAGTTTAGCTGTGTTTCAATAACTTGGGAACAACATACCCTTGCCTAGGAAAGTCTGCCTTTCCAGAGCTTGTTGCACTGATTCAATTCTTGTTATACAAGTTTTTTTTTTTAAAACAACAACAACAAAAACAACTGTCAGTTTTAATTTTTTATCATAAACAAAAATGCATTATGCTTGTTATAGATTTTAATATAACCCTAATATTTTTCAGAATTTGCATTTTACCCCTGACTAGAATTTGAGGGGTATAAAACCCTTGGCCAAAAACATATAATTATCTGGAGCTCTGATAATTTGATGTCTGAGTCAGTCAAGTGCAATAAGAAAGCAATAAAGAAAACAATGAGATAGCCTGTCTCAAGAAAAACTTCATGTTATATGTTTTATTTGTTAGGTCTATAGTAATAAATATACTAGCTATTGTAAGTAATGGTAGGAAATTGTGCCAAGAGTTAGTGTAAAACTTAAATATAAAGAACTTGTATATGACTTAAAATTCCCCTTTTTGTCTTAAAATGACACAAAATTCCCCTTCCTGAGGGTATGGGTACCTGTCCCCAAAAGTTGTCTAGTGCCCTGCCATGTGTTGATGCATTATAATTTTATTGTGTCATAATAAATATTAACAACAAAACAATAATTATACTATGTAGTTCAGAGTTTGGTTTGAATAACTATAAACTTTGAAAGTCTCTTGAAGATTCAAAATATCAGCAATGCAACTGTATGCAGTAAATGACTAATCATCCCAGCAAACACCCGACGTTGACCCAACGTTGGATCAACGTTGAATTTTGGTCGCGACGTCGGTGACCTTCATACAACGTCAAATCGACGTTGAATCCCCGACGTCTAACAGACGTTGCATTTTGACGTCGATTCGACGTTAGGTTTTGGTCGGTAATCTGACAATAGGTAAATTTAATTTATGAAACCAATATATATATAAATGAAAGCATAAACAGCGAGAATTTTAAGTTTAAGTTTAGAAAGGGAACATTATATATTTATTTTCTCCATCAAAACAACAGTATCACGTGGGTGGCTAACGTACGATATTCGATAGGTGGCGCTCTGTAAACGGATAGTCGCAGATCAGTATGAAATATATTTGCTCTATTTTCATTTAAATAATATCTTATTTCCTCGAATTAGTCTAAGAAGTGTTTATATAATTTACAATAAAGTTGTTATCATTTTTGAGTGCTTCATTTTATAGTGGTAAATAATTTAGTAAATTCGAATTTGCGACTTATCGGATTTGAAATTCAATTGTATTGGCGGACAAAAAACGACGGGTTGACAGACAAAGTTGTGTATTCCAAACAAAAGACAAAGGTAGGCAAACATTATATATTGTTTTTCATTGCTAATTTACCGCATGTTTGCATGGATTCGATGGTTATTTGATCATTGAAATGTTTGACTGGTAAAACTTAATGTCACGTTATTTCGCGAGATAAATATTTTTGTTTCAACGTAAGAACACTTTATCATTTGCTATAGAACAGTCTGTATAATCGGATCATTTTTCCCACACTATATCGCCATGCCAAATAAATGCACAATCAATGGTAGGAAATATCCTAGCAATTGAAATCAATAAAAAGTTAAATGCAGTACGTAAGACTCTTATTATTCAAATGCTGGTAAATAAAATTTCCTCTTATTTCTTATCAACATGAATTTCACTTATATGAGGGGCCAGTCATTTACACATGTATCAGATGCAGTTTGATTTTGATATCTGTGTAGTTGTTATAATTGTAGTACTTTACACATACTGTAAGCATACCATGTGTTTCTTATATTATGATAATGATTCATGGCATTTGATACATGTAAATGATACGACTTTTGTAAGATATATCTGACAGCACAATGTATTTGACTAGCTATCTTTTTATTAATGTAATCAAACAACATATTATCAATCAGAAAACACATTATCATAGTTATAAATCAATAAAAGTAATAGTTTGTTAATTAGCCTTGATATCAACAAGTTGTATGCTCGTATCATAAAACGTTTTTACACTAAGCCAGTCTGTCCTATATACACTTAGCAGACCAGATCATGCTGGGCAGAGATGATATCTATAAAAATGACAGTAACATGTGAATTTCTTTGATGTTGTATGAGCATTTGTACAAAGTACTTTGAATATAAAAAATAACAATATCAATTTTTGCGGGAGTAGAATTAATTTGGTATTTGTTATATCAGTTTTTCATGCGCTTATGAGTTAACTAAGATTAATAGTAATTTGATTTGCCTATTGTATTAGACAAACATCCTTTCACCACATGGTTAAATCCTAAAACGATTATATTTCGTCTTTCAGATTGTGAAAATTATGATAATTCAACATGTGTCAAAAGTTCATGAGGAAGATGAAAATATTTAGAGGAAAAGAAAAATGAAAACCTTCCAAGATTTTGTGACAGGTATATTTCAAAATATTATAGAAAATACAGTGATCTTATTACCCTTGATTTTATAATGAAATTCTTCATGAAGCCATTTTTATCAAAATTAATAGATATAATATACAGTATGTACACGAAAATACATATGGTTTAAACTAAATTAAAAATAATAAGTGCATGTATCTTTTAAATAGTTGGAGAGTTTTGTTAGAATTTCGTTTAATTATAATATGTAAAAGTGATTTATTTCTTGCACTTGTAACTCACTGATTATTTTATTTTTTTTAATTTCAGAAAGTGTGATGAGATCTCAGGTTGGAGACGGTAATGATACGCTTAAAGTATGCCCCAGATCGACATAGTGGAGGAGGACGAAAGAAGCTAGAATACTAATGAAGATACATGAACATTGCTATTTATAGTTATAACAAAATATTCAGAATATTGTTCCATTTAACATTCAGATCTAGATTCAGTTATAAAATACAAAGACAAATATACATTTAGTGAGTTGGATAGATGATTGAAATATCCCAAACTCAGAGTGATCAGTTCAGTGGTGATATAAGAAAAAAAAACATGCATGGATGTTTGCTATATAAAATGTCAGTGTTTATATTCAAGAAGGATTTTGTTTAGCATGCTTAAATAATACATGAAGCGTTATAAAAGTACATACCGTCAAGTTAAATAGTTTCAAAAAATATTATGTAAATCTTGCATTTGTTATATAGTACCACATTTCTTGTTTTGTGATTGTGATTCCGAGTATAAAATAAATTGCTAACATCATAAGAATGCTTATTTTTAACCCTATTAAAGAGCTTTAAAATGAAAAAAAAAATCATATTCCAAAAGTTTTGAATGAGGTTAAATCATGGTTAGAAAATTTGGTCAGATAAGGTTGGCATATGGTCAGATAATGGTCAGAAAAGGTTGGATTATGGTCAGAAAAAGGTTTGATTATGTCCAAATAATGGTCAGAAAAGGTTGGATTATGGTCAGATAATGGTCAGAAACGGTTGGATTATGGTCAGAAAAGGTTGGATAAAGGTCATTTTATGACGTTGTATAGACGTCGGTTTCTGACGTCTAAAAAACTTTCAAATCCAACCTTCTGCCAACGTTTACCCAACGTCAGGGTCTAACGTCAGTACAACGTTGGTACAACGTCTTTTGTTTGCTGGGATTCTGTAAACATGTTAATTACTTTTGGATTCCAACTTTTTCAGGCTTGGGAGACCATGGACTCCATGTTTTAAAGTCCTAGTGAGAACCCTGATGAATAATCACTAAATCAGAAAATTAGATCTATCTATTAAAGATTTTTAATTTGATGTCTCTGATAATACAGGGAAGTCAAAGGCCAGGACCGCGAAGTTGTCCAGGCTTTGGCTTGCCTGGCTATAGAATACACATGTATATTTAAAAGGATCTCAATTAAAAAACATTTGAAGAATAAGTGTATAGAATTGTATACCTATCAATGAAATTTTCAGTGTCCTTTCAAGTTGGGCACCGCCATTTTCAATGTTACTCAATGATAATAGGCGGGGTATTCCGATATCGTAACATCTGCAACCTGTTGGATTAATAATTATCGTCGAGTGCTCCAAGTGAAAACGGAAGCGTTGCATGAAATACCAAATGACTACTATAAAAAGGAAAAATGAACGATTTTTTTAAACTGACTTCATCGTTCATAGGCTTTACCTAATTTCATATTATATACAAAGGAGACGTAATATAAGGGAGAAGTTCGGTGACAAACTGACTAAGGGACGCAATGATTTAATGCTCATAGTATTATCGAAAGGTTTCCAATCATTTCCATGCAACCTTGGTACGAAAATAATTGTGTACGAATATATATTTTAAGTGGATCTCTCTGGTACTTTGGCTGTGTTTTCATACATATTAAATAATTAAAAGGATGTGAATAACATTACCGCTTCTCTTGCTTGATTGGCAGTCCTGATACTTTGGTAGCTGAGCTCTGCCATGATTTCTAAAAGATATAAAGCATTTTCGATTGCACCGTTTCGGTCGCGAAGATATACAACAAAATGGCGGATGTCAACGACATTCTGTAACCCAAATCAAAAATATTCCATATGACTTTATAGAGAATATGGTTTATAAGATTTTAATAAAATTTGTATCTATTTTATTTTTTAAGCTATATATTCTATTTGGTGCACCTTAATATGGTTCTAAATATCGGCATTTCTTTAAATTTAAAGGCTAATAGAACGACCTTCACCTTCTTAATTGATGATAATAACAATTAAAACGTTGTAACAGAATTTGTTGAACCTGCAAGGCAGATAAGCAACAACTGACGATATTGCGTGTCTGCGAGAAAAGCTGTTGAATGGTAATGTAAAATTGCAATATTTGTCGTATTTGTAACTATTGTTTGTAAATTATCATTTATGTAATAGCATTCGGATATGTGAAATTTGACCTACAATAATGGTTATAATAATCTCACTAAAGGTTTTGTTATTGATTTAATTACGGTAGTGTCTGTGCAGATAAAGGAACAAGTCACTTGAAAAAATATGAAAGACTGGGCATACTTTCAATTATCTAAAGAGACTTCAGCGAACAGGTTTTATAGTACTGCGCACAACGTCAAAATAAAAACGACATAAAGTTATGGAAGCCAGAACTAACTTTCTCTCAATTGATTTACAAACATGAACAAAAAAGCGGTGTAGTCTGGTTAATTCATCGTTTATGCCTATCTATATGTAAATGTACTGGTATGCAAGAAGTTCCCTATAAAAGCGGAAGCAATATTTTATATATAAATCCTTGATTTTTAGTTAAATCATTGGCATGCAATGGAACTGGAAAACTTCTAATTCTAGTGCAAGTTTGAATAATCTGCTTATGCTCCTTTTACAAAATGAGAAATTTTTATATCAGTTAATGGACAGAATTGCTTGCCAGTCCAGATATGAGAATTGTAGTTAAAATGAATTACATAACTGATTATATGAATGAAAAAAAGACAAACAAGTTACTTGTTAGTACTAATACAGAAACGGTGACATAAATGGACCACTTCTCCGTCTTCTGTCTGTCCAACTATTGGTCTGTCACAAAAAGTATCAGTACTATTGCTCAAAAACCACTGGTGCATTTTCATCTAAACTTTACAGAAATGATTGGTACCAAGTCTTGTTGTGCATTTTCGTTTTCATGATTTTGTCAGAGTTATGGCCCTTTTATGATTTTTATTTCTAAAGTTTGTCTGGACCATGTCTCGTATACTACTAAATCAATGCATTTTGAATGAACTTCACAGGATTGATACAGTATGTTGTTATGGCCCTTGAATAAAAATGGCATTTTGGCATGTGAATATTTTGTGTTTTGTCTTATTTAGAAGATACATACTTTGAATGGCCAATGTCACCTGTGCTAACAATAGATTTTTTCACTTTTGCTTCTACAGCCTTAATTTTTTTTAACCCTTTGTCTTTCATATTTGTTATGATAGCTTCTACAGCCTTAATTTTTTTTAACCCTTTGTCTTTCATATTTGTTATGATCAAACATTGGGTGGTCCTCTATTTTCGGGGTGGAGTTTGGTGTCACTGGATTCAAGGTCAAGATCATGCATTTATCAACATTTGATTAACTTTTATTGTTTCAACTAATTATCCCCCCCCCCCCCCCGATGGAATCGGGAGGGGGATATAGTTTTGGCGTTGTCCGTCCGTCCATCCGTCCGTCCGAATTTCGTTTCCGGAGTAGTTCTCTGCAACAACTGGCTGGAATTCAACGAAACTTTATGGGAATCATCAATATCAAGAGGAGATGCGCATCTGACCGTCCGTCCGTCCATCCGTCCGTCCGAATTTCGTTTCCGGAGTAGTTCTCTGCAACTACTGGCTGGAATTCAACGAAACTTTATGGGAATCATCAATATCAAGAGGAGTTGCGCATATCGTCAGCTTGTTCCGGTCAGACCCTTTAACTCAAGAGTTATGGTCCTTGATAAGTTATGTAGAATGCATATAGAGTAAAATTTTGTTTCCGGAGTAGTTCTCTGCAACTACTGGCTGGAATTCAACGAAACTTTAGGGGAATCATCAATATCAAGAGGAGATGCGCATATCGTCGGCTTGTTCTGGTCAGACACTTTAACTCGGAGTTATGGCCCTTGCTTAGTTATGTAGTATGCATATAGAGTAAAAATCGTTTCCGCACTACTTCTCTGCAACTACTGGCTGGAATTCAACAAAACTTTATGGGAACCTTCAATACCAAGAGGAGATGCGCATATCGTCGGCTTGTTCCGGTCAGACACTTTAACTCAGAGTTATGGCCCTTGATTAGTTATGCAGTATCCATAAAGAAAAATATTTGTTTCCTCGCTACTTCTCTGCTACTACTGGCTGGAATTCAATGAAACTTTATGGGATACTAAGAGGAGATATGCATATAGTCGCCTTGTTCCAGTCAGATACTTATAACTCAGATTGATGGCCCTTGATTAGTTATGTAGTATGCATACATCTCATTGGCATTTCCAGATTTTACTATTTAACACAAAGTTATGGCCCTGTTATTGCCCTGAATATTTATCAAGTTCAAAGAATATTACTGTTTCTGCCATGATTAATATATAAATAAAGCCTTATGTCTTCAGTTGTTGTGTTAATAATAACCAGTACTCGGCGGGGGATATAAATTCAACGAATTTGCTTGTTCAAATAGAAATTTCATGCCAACTTTGACATTATTACATTTTATGATAGCAAAAGGTCATAAATCTATCAAGGTATATTACTGTAAGCAATATTTTTTGGAAAATTTTGTTACTGCAAGAATCTCAGCATTTATAGGTCTTTGCATGATTCATTCTAGCTTTTGTTGAAAATTAATGGTCTTAAATGCAGGTATTGCTTTTGGTTAAATTCTGTCTGTGCCTCCACTAATCCAACAAGAAATAAAGTGTTTTTACTTTATGAAGTATAATATTTAAAAGAAGGCTGCAAGTAATATAAATGTTTTATTTCTCTTTTCAGGAGCATGAAATCAGTTCTAAAGACAAGACAGAAACGTTGGAAAATGAAGGAAAGACACCTGATACAGAAAAATGTGATGAAGGTCATGTATTTAAAAAGGCAAGATATGCCTGGCAAATTAAAGGTCATCTTGGTACTGAACATGACTCTCTGAATGGTGAAGCTTCTTGTGATAAATCCAAAAGTACCGAATCTGTTGCCTTAAATGACTTAGCTCATTTTGAATATAAAGACTTCAAAAGGCAAGACGACTCTGATGTAAATGAAACAATGTTATCAGCAGTTACGACTGAGAAAAATTCAAGTCATCATGATGAAGAGAGTTATGAGAAAGGAATTAAGGAAGATTATGTTAATAGTGATACACAGAAACACAGTGATATGATTGAGTTCATAGGTAACAAGAGAAAAGTTGATCTATTAAACTTTGAGGGGGGTTGTGGGCGATCCAAACGATTAAGAAACATAGAGGATATTAACAGTAGAAATGAAATAAGTAATTGTTCAGCAAATGCTCATCCACAGCAAGATAGGTTTATGAACATGCAAGCTGGAATTGCCACTGCTGCAAATAACCCAGATTTCGGAAGAGCTGTAAGTTCTATTATACCAAATTTTCAAGGCTTTGATATTCCTAGCTTTATTTGGCAAAAGCAAGAAATGGGTTGTGCAATCGTTGACAATGTTTTTAATAGGACTTTGGAAGAGATGGGTCTGTCACCTGATCCGGTTGTCAACTTAAGCGCAACTACTAGGCTAACTGTAGAAAACCAAAGTATCGAAAGTGCCATCAGAAATCAAGGTCTTCGTGCAAATAGTTCTCAAAGTGATCACAGTACTATATTAAGAAATATGGAGGAAATGAGACAATCTGCCACAAGGACAGACTTTGAGCACACTCAAAGCCAGCTTTCTAGAATATTGGCAAGCCGGTCTAATTCACAAACATTGCATTCACAGCCTTTGATAGAAAGTCATTATGAAGAGGAAAATTGTGCCATGCATGATCAAGACCTGGACTCAGTAGCTAATGGCAATGAGAGCAATCGGGTATCTTCTTGTGGGCCTTCTGTTGCTAAGGATATTAAATTGGACAAAGCTAACAATAAATCTGCTCCAGGAAATGATCACAGTGGTCATTGCAAGTTAAAAATAGTCAGTGAAAATCCATGTGTGGACCATGAAACAAATCATAATATATGTGATGTTGAAAAAATTTCGGGACCAACCAATGAAAAAGATGAATTTATTTTTATGGAAGATTCGGAAAGTATACATGTACATTGTAGGGATATAGCAGAAAAAGGTTCAGAAAATGTTTTAGATCTTGCAGTGTCAGCTGCAATTATGAACCAAGGACTTACCTTTGACTAACTTTTTATAGCTGCCATTATTTTGCAAATATATAAATGGAAATAATAAATTTTAAGTAAAGTCTAACATAATGAATAACAAGACAGATATAAATATTGTCATGTGATAATGATAAATGCTTTTGTTATTGTTATTTTCTGTCCCCATTTCAAAAGGTGAAAGGTCACTTACTTAGAAAAGGCGAGTCCATGGCCAAGTAGTTAAGGTCATTGACTCCAAACCACTTGCCTCATACTGCTGTAGGTTTGAGCCACGCTAGTGTCTTCGGATAATTTATGTGAGGAAGCTATCCAGCTAGCTTACATAATGTCAGTGGTTCTACTCAGATGCCTGTTTACATGTATGCCTGAAATATTCTACATAGGGGTACCTACAGTCTTCCTCCACTAGTAAAGGTGGAATGTTGCCATATGATCTACACTGTGTTGGTGTGATGTAACCCCCTCCCCCCCAAAAAAAGTAAAAATACAAAGGTGCCCCCACATTCCATCGCCTTTTGTCAATCTTATGACTCTTCAGGCTACATGTGCCATAAGTTGAAAACTTAAATTCTTTTACTAAGTAAAGGGCAAGAACTTTATACTGAACAAATCCACAAGCAAACCCTAAGGTGCATAAGTACACCTGCTGACCAACACTCTTGTAAACTTTCAGGCCTACAGGTCAAATACTTTTTGAGCTATGCATGAACAAGTTGAAAATTGCAAATTTATACTAAGTCAAGGCAATAACTCTGAACAAACCTGAAAACAATCCACATGCAAAACCACAGGTGCATAGCTTCACAGTGATGTTGATCATTATTCCTGTAAAGTTGGTTGATTCTAACTCAAGCACTCAAGGAACAAATAACACAACATAATGGAATGTTTTTTACGAAGTCAATGGAAATAACTTTAGAAATACTGGATAAATCGGCAAGCAAAACTCCAGGTAACTAAACATGCTGAACATTATTCCTGTTAAGTTTCATGACTAGGTTAAATACTTGTTGAGCTACGCAAGACACAAATTGAAATTGCAAATTTTCACTAAGTCAAGGGCAATAACTCTGACAAAACAGAGAAAATCCACAAGCAAAACCCCAGGTGCACAACTTCACATGCTGATCAACATTCCTTAAAGTTTCATGATCCTCGGTCAAATACTTTTTGAGATACATGCGACACAAGTTGAAAATAGCAAATTTTTAGTAAGTCAAGGGCAAGAACTTTGACAAAACAGAATAAATCCACTAGTGAAACCCCAGGTGCACAACTTCACATGCTGAGAAACATTCCTGTAAAGTTTCATGACACTAGGTCAAATACTTTATGAGCTATGAGCGACACAAGTTGAAAATTGCAAAATTTTACTAAGTCGAGGGCAATAACTCTAAAAATACTAAATAAATCCACACGAAAATACCCAGGTGCACAACTACACATGCTGAGCAACATTCCTGTTAAGTTTCATGACTAGGTCAATTACTTTTTGAGCTACATGCGACACAAAATGAGAATGGATTGACGAACAGATGAACAAGGGTAAATCTAAATCCCCCCCCCCCCCCCAAAAAAAAGTGGGGGCACAAAAAAAAAAAACTAACTTAGAATCGCTTTCCCTCAATCTGGTCATTGCCCTGGCTACCAGTCTTGCCATGAATGTATTATGCTGACAACATGTATCCAGCTAGCTTGTTATACCCAAATGCCTGCCAGTGCTTGAAGTAATGACGTGTGTTAAACACATTGTGATTCAGCCATTAATAATTATTAATATATTGTGACTATATATTTAAGCATACTTTAAACAAAATATCATTTTGCACCAGTCATCCATGTAATGTGCATAAGTAAAGTTCTTGCTTTAAATCTGCTCGCAGAATTTTTTCCAAATTCCAACACAGAACCATATTTACCATGGCATCTGATAAGTAAATATTTTTAACGCCTTCTTATACTTTGATTTTTCAGTGTACTTCCATTGTCCACCTTGAGACAGCTTGACAGAGACACTGGTCTCTCTTTTCATTCTGACTTTATGTATGAATAAGTTCCCAAAAGTCAAGATCAAGCTATTTTTTGTGTCCAGGACATACGTTTATCATTCTTGAACAGCTTTTGAACTTTTTGACAGATAATATGACAATGAGGGGCTAACAAAAAATGGACCCTGAAAAGCTAAGTTGTTCTATTGTCTGATATTGAATCAAATCCATAAATAAGTAACAAAGTTATGACAATTTAAGCAAAGTTCAATAATTTGACCTTTGACGGTACAGGTCAATTAAAGGTCAAAGTCATTTCACAGTGATTTTTTTTTTTTTCAAATTTCAAAACAATCTGTGGCTTTCTAAAGGGGAAAATACAGCACACTAAATCAGAAAAGTGGGAAAACCTGAAATCAAATTCCAACAAGTGAGAATGGAATTAACCAACACATTTTATTCCAATCCAATTTAACATGCATGGTACATCACCTCTATATGGCCACCATCTGTCTTACAGTCAATTAAATGTATCAACTAGCTGTTAGGTCAGCTGCTGTTAACCCATTGCTTCATGAGCATTTTGTGAAAAATGGCTGTTTTCATTGAAAAGTCTCCCGTTACAAGTTCAAATTGCTATAATACTATAAAAACTGCTTCAACACTAATCAAACTTGGCACAAATGTTGACTGGACCATTGTCCTTGCAACAACATGCTCAGACTTAAATTTTCTGTTACCATGGCAACGAGGGGACATCTCAAAATTGCCAAAAATCACTATTATGCGTTGATTTTTTCCATCAAAATTGATTTCAAAGTGCTGCAACTTATCAATGGATTGAGATAGAGTCAAATGCTTTTCAGCGTTGGTTACACGTTACCTTATGATCAATCTGGGGTCATTTACAGCCTCTCACAAGTCAAAAATTTTCTTGGCGATGAGGGGGACTCCGCCCCCCTTCAAACCCCCAAAAACAGAAGGGGGCACATCCCCCTTCTGGCAACCCCCTGATGTATCTTTTGGTTGGGGGGCCGCGCCGAAAAAGAGGTCAATTTTTTTAACAACATTTCTCAAACAAAAACAAGTGTTTGGGGCCTAAATAAGGCATTTTTCATCATTTGAGACAACAAAAGGGGGGGGGGGGGGTGAAAAAGGCGTTAAAAGGCGTGTATATGAAGTAATGGGTTAAGTCATGGTTCTGGTCAAGAATGTGCACAGGGCATTAAAGCCAGGAGAAATATAGCTTTTTTAGGGGAAAATTTCCATATTTTGGACAAAGGGAAACAGCCTTTAACCGGCTGGAAAGTGTAGGGAAAAAATCACTGTATCAAAATATTACAACATGTCAGTTTGGCCACATCTGTTTTTTCCTCCAAAAACCAAATCTCTGTAAATAAATAACAAAATTAAGCCAATTTAAGCATATTTCAATAATTTGACCTTGATGGTCAGTCAATTTCAGGCAACGGTTGCTACAACCTGACTATAGGCCAATAGCTTGAAATTTTTCTTTGGAAAAGTCAATCTAAAAATGTGTCAGTTTTAATTCTGTTAACTTACAGAATATTCCACATACATGTACATAACAGATGCTAGTTCAGGATCCACCTATTAAGGGTCAAATTTATACTATTTTTGTTACCATAGCAACCAGAATACTGATCAAAGGGAAGAGCAAAATGATGTCCATAAAATTAATAACAAGTTGTTTATTGAAATCAAACTTATACTCTCACCATGAGAAAAGTGGAAAGGAGCAAAATTTCTTCCTCAACGTAAGTCTGACGATTGCATTTCATTAAGTTTTATTATACAAATATAAAAAGCAATACTTTGATACAAATACTGTAGTATTATCATCAATGTGTCTTAATAGTACAATGTACATGTATAAACATCACAAATTGACATTCTTATTATTTTTTTTTTCAATTCTCTCTTAAAAATACTAATTAAGCATTGTCAATGTTTATCTTTTGCACGCCATCCAGACATTCAGGTTGTTGGTTCATAAAGTTCTTGCCAACATTTCATAACATTAGAAATGATGGTGCAGATGTCAATTTAAAAATTCGAAACAAATAATTTAATTTCATGTTGCAAAGCAAAATTAAGACCAATAAATTCAAACATAATACACTTGTAGATAAATTAACCAGAAATGTTTATGTCAAAAAGTCTAGTTATATCATTCTGAACATAAGATAATTGGGTTCATCTGCATAATAATCCCCGAGATCTGTGCAATATGCAATAAAAATAAAGAGTTTAAATTATAAGATTATGTGTGCGATCAAAGGGAAAAGAAATCCCTTTCAGTAATTTTACACATAAATTACAAGAGTTATACATTTTTCCTCCCATTTTGTGATAATTCAAAAAATTATTGTTTTTTTTTTAAAATCTGTGTTTACCCTAAAAAAAGTCTTCAGTGTTTACCATCAAAAAGTCTTCGATCTCAAAAAGTCAACTTCAATGAGTGTTAAATAGATTTTTCCAACTCGGATACAGTTCTCATTGCAAAGACAAGTGGTGCAAGAACAACAATACTGCGCATGGAGATCCATTGTTCACTTGGCACTGAATCACCGCATCTTTTCAAAAATTTCATTATATGTAATGTAAGATATTTATAGATACAAATTCATGTACACTTTTCTTGGATTAATGTTCCTTGGATAATCGTCTTTGCCTTTCCTCTCTGAATTTATCAAACAATTTCTTACGATCATTTTTCTTTTTCAACATTTGCACCCTAACTCTACTTGAATTACTGAGATCTTCATCACTCTCGTTATCTGAAGCTTCACTAGTATCAGCAGATGTACCTTCACTGTCACTTTCTGAATCACAAGAACTTGGTACATTTTCAGAATCATTCTGTATCTCAGTGGCAGTAACTTTCTCAAAGTTTGTGAATTCCTTTTTGGATTTGTCATTCTTTGGTACATTAGAATGTCCATTACATTCTGTGACATCATCTTTATTCTCTTTATCAACAACCGGTTCATTATTGTTGCCAGGACTTTCTTCTGACTTGTTTCTACAATGTTCTAATGATTCAGCATTTCCATCAATGCACTCATCCTCGTCACTTTCTATAATACTTCTATTGTGTTTTTTAGTCACAGCAATGTTTTCATCACTGTCATTTCCATCATCACTTTCATTAATTAATCTTTTACATCCTTGCTTAATCTTTTCTCTGCCTCTGTCTTCTTTGTTCTCACAAATATCAATATCATTATCATCACTTTCAATAACACTTCTGTTAAGTTTTCTTGTCTTTGCTCTTGCTACAATTTCAAGGTCTTCATCAGTGTCGTCATTTTCACTAGAGTCTGTGACATTATTTCTTATTCCTCTTTCAGTAGACCGTACACATATTGCAGAATCACCTGAAAGGGGATCTTCATTCTTATCTGTTACGTCTGCACCCACAGTATTCATAACATCTGTTACATCATCGCCATCACTATCTGTTGAACTTGATTCATTAACTTCTGATTTCATTTGCAATCTTCTCCGTCTTCCTTTTATTCTCACTTGCTTCTTGTGCTTAAAGTAGAAATGAAAATTTTACATCAACACCAGCCTTAAAATTGTCTTTGTTTCTTCTCCCACAACTAAGGCCAGTTGGGTAGGGTTGGCATTCTTTTATGTTTAGTGACGAAAAAAGAATATTGTTTACTGTTAAGCAATAGAAAGTCTTGGGTACCGGTAACTGTGATTTTGTGGGTAGATATTTTATTTTAGGCCCAAAAGTTTAAAAGCACTATGATTTTTTGAACTCCACTGTGCAGCTTTAAGAAATAATTTTCGTCAAAACTAAAAGTCTGACATTAAAACTATATTATAATGTTGACACACAGAATTTTTGCCGATTTATCTATAGATCATGTGGACTGTACATTTCACATTTCAACAAAGTTTTGTTTCATCAGATACATGTACAATGTACATGTTTTTTACAAAGAAAAAGGGAATATAATTACAAGCATATAAGTTTAGTATTAAATTTGATTTCAGCACCCTTGAGTGAAACCTAAGAAGGAAAGCAGAAACTTAAAATCTTAGCCTTAAACAATACAGCTCTGCCAAACTTTGGACAGGTTAGTATGGAACAGGGAACAAAATAATTTATTTTAGTCTTTGTTATGTTTGTACAAACCTTGAGGGTTTCTCTAGAACTGTCAGAGCTAGATTGTTCAGTCAAACTATCATCGAGGAAATCGTTCATTGACTCATCTCCACTTGTTTCATTAGGGTCATAGTTATAACTATTGTTCCTGAAAGCAAAACATTACTTTTCATTGTTTATATTATCTAAAATATCAACATCATGAAACACTTCATGTATTGTAAAATGTTCTCATAGTCTAGTAACATTTATATCATCAGTGCCTTTCCGTGTTTTTTTTCCCCCGAACAATTTAAGGGTTGAAATAAGGCCCCATTCACATTGAGCTTAGTAGTTTTCCTGACATCATTTGGTTTATTGTCGACATACGAGATGTAAGCATCCCTTTTATTATGTTGTGCATATAGTGTGCTATGTTGCACTTGATTGCCATATCAGTTTGATAGTAAAGTAATTGTGTAATGTGTAAGAATGACATGTTTCCTTACTCTTTAGTGAAATTATTAACAAGACGTTTAGGACGGAGCTGCTCATATTTCTCAGGTGACTTTGTTGGGGTTATCTTCTTCCAAACATCTTCTCTTGATGGTTTTCTGAAAGTACGACTTCTTTTCTTTTGAAGCCTCTCTGAACTTCTTGGAGTGTTCTGTAAAATTAATTTCTATAAATATTCATTGATAAACGAGAGAAAAAAACAAGGACTTCACTAAGGTGGGCAGTACACGCTCAGCCCAGTCACACATCAAGATTAAGAGGGTATCATGGGCAAAAATGTGTCTGAAAGAAAGATAGCAAATTAAAAGCAAAAACCTTAATCCCCATATTAAATTCTTATGTGGCTGTCTTATATAATTTATTAACTTTATGAACATATTTTGGAAGATAATTCAATCTCCTGTTCTTTACAATAGTGTTTATTTCATCACGATAGAGGATATATATCATTAGATTATAAATTATGAGCCAGCCTAGTATAACAAGTAAGATAACATCCAAATAAATTTATCCGATATATGTAGAGTCACCGTACCAGTGCTCAACCAGTTTTTCACAAAATCACATAAAAACTCTTTCAGAACAAAAGGTTTGATGGGAAACTTATTTTTGTTACAAAGCTGGACCTTTCAAACTCACAATAAGCTAAAGCGTTTTAATATCACAGATAAGGATACAATTAACCACGGAGTTGTATATAGGGTATAAAACCACTATATTTTTCAGACAACCAAACCAGTGCTCGACCAGGTGGTTTTTATCTCTATCAGAACTTTTATTTCTTATAAACAGATATGACTTTTTATGTTCAACAATTCTATTATAAAAATATTTTGAAACATTTACGTTTTATTGTCTATAGATGAAAATATGAAAGCAAATATGATATAAAGGAAATGCTATACATTGACAAATAAAGTGTTTATAAGAGTTTTGGAATTTAAATATACTGGGGCGTTTGGGATTACTTATTCTCATATTTTTTTTACTAAAATCACTATGCAAACATAGTTAAGTGTGATAATTGGTGTAATATACAAATGGTCCATGCTTTTAGTGGTGTGTTCCCGATTTGTTTCCGTACAGCTGCCATATTTGTTTACATGTTCATAGCCCCTGCCTTTTGTGGAAGCAGGGTTTTGATAATTTTTGAACACCTTTCCTATGGAAATCAATTCGAATCATAAAAGTAAAGGCAATTTAACAAATATTGTCCACATTTGCCCTAAATTATCATTATTTCAGTGTTTTAGATAGTTTTTAATGCACTTTTATTATAAAATTGTATTTTTGTGCTGTTTAATATTGTCTGCAAAATGGTAAATCTTCTACCAAACTTGGAGTACTTGTACATGGTGTAGAGTTTACAGGTCTGGTACAAAGAGCAAGCACAAACTCCCAGGGTTTTTCCACTTAAATGCATAAATCATACACAAATAGAAGTATTGGTCGAGCACTGGGCTGGTCGAGCACAGGTACTGTGACTCTATAGCAGTTATTTATAAATGGCCCTTCAATTAATAAGTGGCGTTATGATAATGCACATTAAATATTACCGTTTGATCCATATCATCATTGACCTTCTTTAATGGGGTTACTTCATCGCAAGATGAGCTGGATTCATGGATAATTGACACTTTACGCTTCCTAAGCTTTGTGTTTATCTCCGCCATTTTGTGAAGGAAATCGAAAATAAACAACGAGTTACTCCCCTTTTATTCAAAACACCATTTGCTCTGATAAATGACATGTCAAGCGTTAAAAAAAAACAACAGTCTATAGCACAAATAGTCGGATATATAATGATTTAATAATGAAAGTGATTCAACTTTTGCTGTATATTTTGATTGTGACAGCCCAAGACCCTTCAGAAGAATTTGATGATGATGACCTAAATGACAGTCAGATGATTGAGAGTGAGGATACATTGAGATTACTCCAGGTAGGAAAAACGGTGTACGGACATAACCCCTTCGGACAAAATCCCCTTCATGTATTTTTGTATATCTGGACATAATCCCCTCCATGGATGGACATAATCCCCTTCATGTGTGAAATTTTGAAGTGGACAAAATCCCCTTCATAAAATTGCTACCTGGGATAAAAATCCCCCTCAGATGAATTTTCGGTTTATAAAGTAGGTATGAGAGCGACATACTGCATTATGCTGTGTGGTAAATATCTTAAAGTATAAATAAAAAGAAAATATTTCAGCAAAATAGCACATTCAATTAGCACATTTTAATCACATTAAAATTGCTTTGTTAAAGCATTCATAACAATCAAGTTGTGCAGTGATCTTGGTTTGATTAAATTATCACTCTTTCATCAATAGAAATTTTAACAATGGATAATATGTATCAATTAGAAGTATCAACATATACAATCCATGAAAAAATTATTGGCTAATAAAAATGTTTTTCATACTAATCAATTTAAAACAATTAAAAAAATTGCCTAATCAAACATGTGTTATGCAGTTAATAATTTAAACTTCTAAACTAAATAAAGGTTAACTATTGAAACATAATTATAAATAAAAAACAAAAGTTCAGTATTCATCACTTTTTAGGGAGTTTAATAATACATTATTCATCAATTTTTATGGAACATAATAATACATTAGAAACCTATGAAACAAAGGGATTTTGTCCGGGTAGTGAAGGGGATTTTGTCCAGCCTTGCAAAAACACTAAGGGGATTATGTCCACCCATGAAGGGGATTTTGTCCGGGTATGCAAAGGGGATTTTGTCCGAAGGGGATTATGTCTGACATTCAGGAAAAACAAACACTGATAAACTGAAACTGAACATTGACATATCATGTGTATTGTTATGATGATAAGTAACAAGTGAATGATCAAAATAACCTTTGCCCATATATTTTTCTGTCATTTTAAAACGTTTAAAATTTTTTTACAGAGTGCCAAGTGAAAGCATTTGAACAAACACAATCAGTTGGCCTTCCCCTGACATCCACTGCCATACAATGTATTTGCACTTTTATTGTGCTCATTGTTTTTGTCATAAACGGCATTAGAGTACAAGTATTCAACTTTGTTGAAATAAAACTTTTCCAGAGTACATAGTTTGTAAAAATATGAAAATAAATCTGATATAAACTTGCTGTTCTTACTGTTCGGATGGTCATTGTATATCTCAAGGAGAGTGGTGGTCTAATGCTTCAGGTGTGACTGTCTGCTTTTTAACAGGTTCAAGCCCTACTTGGGTTTCGTTCCAACCATGTTTTTTCTCATAGTTAAGACAACTGTTAAGACAACTGTTATGGTTAAAGACTGTCCTGTGCATAAATGGTCTAGTACATTGAAATGCACTAAAGTGCACATGTAGTGCACACCAAGTGCACTTTATGTAACTTAAAGTGTGAACTCAACTGTTAATATAAATTGTAAGAACTTGTCTAACAATCAAACTAATGGTAAAAAAAAATGTTTGGAAACTTGGAAATATTTTGCTTGGTTTATTTGTTCTTGCAGGTGCTGTATAGACATGGGGATCGAAGTCCTACGAGAGCATATACAAAAGACATATATGAGGAATCAGACTGGCCTCAAGGATATGGACAGTTGTCTACAGAAGGAATGCAACAAGAGTTGGAACTTGGTGAATTTCTTATGAGAGAATATGTGGACACTGGGTTTTTAAGTTCGGAATATTCACAGTCAGAAGTATATGTTCGCAGCACATCATATGAGAGGGCATTAATGAGTGCCTATAGTGTTTTGTCTGGACTTTTTCCACCAGGCCAAAATGATAGTGTGTGGAATCATAATTTAAATTGGAAGCCAATACCAGTTCATACTGTACCTCTAGAGGAAGACTATCTTTTGAGAATGAATTTATCTTGTCCTGTGTATAATACTGCAAGAAACAATGACCCACAAAGAAAGTTATTTATGCAGCAAATAATGGATGAATTTAGCGAGTTTTACAGTTATGTTTCGAAATACACAGGTGAATCAAATACTTGGGATGGAATACATGCTGTAATTGATCCAATATTTTGCCAGTATGCAAGTCATTATAATTTGCCAGAATGGATAACTGATGACATTTTGGATCAATTTTTACAGCTCTATGATCTTTACAGCATTGAACACAGCTATCCTAGGGAGTATGCCTATCTTAAAGGTGGATTTCTTGTTGGAGAAATGTTAGAACATATGATCAACAAAAGTAAGCATGAAATATCAACCCCGCAGAAACTGTTCATGTATTCAGCCCATGATACTACTATTGTGATGTTCCTTACAACTCTAGGAATATTCAATGACAGGAAACCTAAATACACAGCCTGCGTTCTTGTGGAACTGCACGAGGTGCAGCCTGGCCAGTTTGCGGTGCAAATTTCATACAGAAACGAATCCGACAGCATGCCTTATGTTTTAAAATTACCAAATTGTGATGAATTATGTCCCCTTGAAAAATTTGCTCAAATCATGCAACCATCGATACCAAAAGATTTAAAGAAAGCTTGTGGTATTAAAGGCTCTGCGGGCGTAGATGTTTATGCAACCTCTACAATAATTGTGATTGTAGAGTTGTGTTTATTGGTGCTGTTGGTAATAGCAGTGGCTATTTTATGCTGGGTTAAGAGAGACAAATTAGCTAATACACATGATTATATGCCTGTTCCTTTAGAAATGTCATAGGTTAGAATACGCTTAGCCTTTAAAATTGTCTCAGATTTGTATACACTTAACCAGATGCTTTTTCCTTTTAAGTAAACATACACAAATGCATGTATATGTCTCTTTCTTTAAAATGGTTAAAGATGTAAAGATGGGTAGCTATGCATGTATGTCTGTTCCTTAGCAAATATTCTTTTTAAATTGTTTAAGATTTAATTACACATGAATATATGACTGTTCTTTTGAAATTTTCAAAGGTTTGAATAAACTTGGTCAGATGTTTGTTCCTTTAAGGTTTATATACATGACAAATATATGAGATTGTGTCTGTTCCTTTACAACTTTCATAAACTTGAATTGGAACATTATTAATAGCTCAAGAAAAAGAAAAATGACCTCTTTTTTCCCCCAATTTTATACAAAGGTATTCCCATAAACTATGGAAATATGACATGTTTTAATGCCTGAGAATAAAATGTTTTAATTCCTGAGAGTAAAACTTAACTGTTACAAAAAAAATTGACAGGATAATATATGTCATTACATGTATACGAATATATGATAATGTAAAGCAAAAGTCATTCACATGTAAAATGACAGTAAAAAGGTGGTTTTACAAATTTAAAAAAAAATATTTTCTAGATTGCAACATTTCCCCCCCCCCCCCTAATTTCAGACAGGGCCTTTTCTCTAATATAAGTGGAAAGGGCCCTTACTGCTGAATTAATTTACTTGCTTTACCTAGGTTTATTGATGTCATGTATGATCTCAAGGGCTAGTTGCTAACGCCCTTTTTCATAACTCATTTATTGATTGTATATTTAATGCTTTCAAGAGTTCAGTTTTTGTTTAACCTTTACTATGCTGAATACCTTAAAAGGACTCGTGCAGGTTTTTAATTTAAGAACCAACAGTTATTTTGGGAATGTCAAGATGAAAAAAATAAAGTATGTCAGCCAGCAGTATCATGGTGCGTCAGAAGTCTATATGAGCCGTGTCATGACAAAACCAACATAGTGGGTTTGTGACCAGCATGGATCCAGACCAGCCTGCGCATCCGCGCAGTCTGATCAGGATCCATGCTGTTCGCTATCAGTTTCCCTACTTGCTATAGAGTTTGTAAGCGAACAGCATGGATCCTGATCAGACTGCGCGGATGCGCAGGCTGGTCTGGATTCATGCTGGTCGCAAACCCATTATGTTGGTTTTGTCATGATGCGGCTCATATACTGGTGGCAAAGGATAATCACTTTCCATTCCAGCAGGGTAAGGGTTAATAAGAAATTATGTGGACAACACTTGAATCAGCAACAAACATTATTGTTTAAAAATCATTTAAAATATACCACCTAATTCATTTATATCAATAATAAATACTATGCTTCATAATAACTTGTGTGTTAAATAAGTGGTGAAACAGCGAGGTTTAATATGATGTATAATGTACATGTAATGATTTTATAATAATTTATGTAATGACACATAACTAGATTTATTAAAGTATGACATATTTACCGCTACTATTTGCTTATATGAGATTTTTAAAGCCCCATTATGTGTCATAAATGTTATTATTTATTTTTCTAATGGTTCTTAATATTATTCAATATTGTTGTGATTAATTTTCACAAATTTACTCATTGGCAATATTGCTAAGCCATATTGTACTCCTTTTGCGTTTTAGCAATTAGTACAGTTTGGATGACATAGCATTTTATATGGCATTCAAAATACCACTTTGCTTACATTTTGCTACCCTTGTCGCAAATAATTTCACATTCTTTTCGTTTTTTCTTCTCCTTAATATTGTAAGCAACTTATGTGTTTTAAATCCATTTTTACAACACAATAAAAGACATGTTTACCTTTTCTGCAGAATGAAAAAAATTCTGAGGCATAATGCCTGGAAAGACATTGAATGTTTTATGTTGCCATATAATTTAATGTATATATCAGACATTATAAGGAATGTCATAATGTTAGCTCGTCTTTTTTGTCGAAAAAAATAAGAGCTAACTGCTAGACATGTTGTGTTTGACATTTCTGTTGGCGATGCCATTGCTGTTGCCATCCGAAAACTTTAATGTTGATCATAATTTTTTATTTCTCAATGGATTGCGTTATACATGGACACAACAAACCTTTAGACATCAGGTTAACCATACTGAACTTGATCTCAGGTATAGTCAAGTCAAATGTTTGAAATTTGCTTAAATTGTCATAACTTTAGTTATTTATGTACAAATTTGATTTATTTTTGGACAAAAGAAGACATGGCAGAAAAACAAAATGTTGGATTATTCTTATATGACCTTGACCTTTTATTTACCTTTACTGTCAACGTCAAATTATTAAAGTTTGTTTAAATTGTCATAACTTGGCTATTGATTTATGGATTTGATTCATTCTTGGACAAAAAGAACACTCATGATAAACAGACATGATGATAAAGTCAGATGTGACCATGACCTTTGAATGACTGTGAACATCAAGGTCAAATATGAATTTGTATTTTGTTGAAGAAATTTTTTTGAGGACTTTTCTTTACCTACAGTTACCTTCGCTGATATGTTTGTCTTTAGAAACAAGAAAAAGTCAAGCATAGGTACAGCATGGCGGTGGCTCTCATTATATGCTTTATATCTGATATTTTATTATATAGTGTAATTTTATGTTAGGATTTCATGTACATGTAGTATTTACTATGTAAAGGCGTATTATATGTATTGCATAGTCTGAATTTTGTTATTAGTCATGCTTATCAATTAAAGACTACATATTATTATTAAAATTTTATAGAAATCATACATATCAATACATGTAATTATTGTGTTTTCAAGATTAATGTTTTCAACAATCTTTACACTTGCATTACGTATATTAAATTCATCTCATTCAATTATAAGAATGCTTGTCATTTCAGCTAGACTTTTGATGCTTGAGAATCAGCCACCATCACAATGAGAGTTCATTAAAAATCTATTGTGTCTAGATAAATAAATGTTCATTTTGACATTGAAATATTAATTAAAGACAAGTTGAAACTGTAAATATGTTAAATGTTTAGTTTTTAGTATGTTGTTTTAGGCAAAGTTGTTTTTATAGATTTACCTGCACTTTAATGATTATTTTAAGATTATTTTTTGAAATTTTTTCATCTGGCATTTCCATTCTAAGTGAATTATTTTCTGGGTTGAACTTTTCGTCATGTCCCGAAACACATAGTAATTGATCAGTATTTCATGAGTATGCCCTTTTACATGGAAAATACTTAATTTGAACATTCGCAATCAAGTTTTACATCTTACTTAATATGTGGTCTTTATTATTTTTATATACAGTAGTTATTGCTCTTAACAGAGGAATATTGGCACCTAACAACGTGCTATTGTTTTATTGAACTAAATTGTATTGAAAAAATTAAATTCATTCCCATTCCTTTACCAAAAACTTACTTTATTACTGGGGACTAAAACACATTTTGGTGTCCCATGTTAGGTTAGTCCCAAATATAGGAAAAAGCAATATTAACAAGCATATAATTGAAAACATGTACTATTGATAGTTTGCTAAATGAAACTAAAATGTTATTTTTTTGCTCATTCTTGGTCAGCCAGATCTCATTATATATTATACATATGAAAACAATACCAAAGATTTATATTACCAAGGAATAAAAATGTATCTCTTTGATTATTATGTTAAATTATCAGAAAATATTGTATGGAATTAGAACTTCATAGAACTTTGTATAAGAAACAAATTTTACTTGTATGAACTTAGGTTTATTGTTTCAGAAACAAATTTAATTGGTATGGAATAAGGACTAATTTTGTATGAAAAACTTATTTTATTTGTATGGAATTAGGACAATTGTTTGAGAGAGAAAATATTTATATGGAATTCTGACTATTGTATGATTAACAAATTTTATGTGCATGGAATTAGGATTTTTATTTGAGAAACTAATTTTCTTTGTATTGAATTATTGCAATTTTTTTTTATAAAACATCAACATTTGTATAATTTTGGGTCTTTTGTATGAGAAATAAATTTTATTTGTATCGAATTAGGACTCATTGCTTGAGAAACTAATATTATATTGTATGGAATATTACCACAATTGTTTTTGTTTGTTTTTTTTTGAAAAAAGGTATGCAAGACTATTGTTTGAGAAATAAATTTTATTTGAATCTTGCTTTATTGTTAAAGGGATAAGTAAACATGGAATAAATTATAGTACATTCCATTAACACACCTATTCAGCATTTCCTGCATATTAAAGTATCATGCTTCCAGATTCATTTTAATTTCCATGAAATTTTTAAAAATTGTTAAATTTCTAAAATACATTATTATGTGTACAGTATAGATAAAGTGTTTATAAAAATAGCTTCTAAGCACTTATTGTCTACAGGAATCATCTGAAATGTGTCAAAAATGCAGAAAAGGGCCTAAACCTTGTTTGTTAATACAAACGTATTTTAGTTTAATTGTGTTGGAAGGCATAAGCTTATTGAAACACTCTCTTTTATTTTAGTTTAATTGTGATGGAAAGTATAAGCTTATTGAAACACTCTCTTTTATTTTACTTTAATTGTGTTGGAAGGTATAAGCTTATTGAAACACTCTTAAACTGTTCCTGGTACCAACCAGTTCTAAGCAATGAATGTAATGTTTCTTGCTTACAGAAACAGAATAGTTACCACCTTATTTTCTATTTATATGCAATTTTTTGAAGAACATAATGATAATAAAATTACACCATCTATAGGCCTATGTCTACATGACTGATCTCTAGAACTTTTTATGCAAGTCCTTTCAATGTTACATGTATATTGTATTGACAGAGCTTTAAATAACATGTATATTGCAATATATTATTCTATTATTATATATTATTTATATTTGAAAAATATTGCAATAACCATTATGTTAATCTATTGTGATAATTAGATTTTTATATTGTGTAAATATTACAGGGCTGTTGCATATAGACAACTATATATTTTGAATAATAAAATTGATAAAAGAGCAAGTCTTTAGTGCTATATTGTATGTGTTTGAGTTTAACTTACATGATGATCTTAAAAAAAAATAAATATAATTTTTCAGGATAGATGTACCCTACCTTTTTTATTTTATCAAGTGATTTTGTTAGATTTGAGGTGTGATGAAATGCTTAAATCAAATACAATGTAGTTATTATTAGAGTGCTGTATGTTGTATAGAGGCTGTCTGAAGTAGATGGCAGTTTATAAATTCACATCAACACTGTTGAAGGTTCTATGGTATTTGAGGAAGACTTTGACTGCCATAGCATGGACTAGTTCAGGTAACATGCAATCACCTGTATAGTAGAACCACTGTCCATGCATAATCTACCTTGATTCCTCACATGATCAAATCTAATGCCCCTTACCGATAATCTATACAACAGGTAATCTAAAATGCTCAACAACTGCAGAGTCCTATTATGTACAGCTCTTGCTTTATCTTAAAATAGGCTAAGATAAGGATTTTAAAGGGGATCCAATATTGGCTAAGATAAGGACTTAAAGGGATCCAATATAGGCTAAGATACGGATCTTATAGGGATCCAATATAGGCTAAGATACCCATCTTATAGGGATCCAATAAAGGCTAAGATATGGACTTAAAAGGATATAATATGGCTAAGACATGGACTTAAATGGATCCAATATAGGCTAAGATACGGAACTTATAGGGATCCAATATAGGCTTAGATATGGACTTAAAAAGATCCGATATAGGCTAATATATAGACTTAAAGGAATCCAATAAAGGTAAAGATACAGACTTACAGGGAACCAATATAGGTTAGAATAAGGATCTTAAAGAGAAATAACACAAAACATAATTTTCTGAATTAAGAGTTTATTTTTGAAACAATGTTTGCTATTTTCACATAAGATTTTCTTCATTACTGTTTGAGATAACATCTTCAATAGCAAAGGGGTCATCACGTGTGAACGAGGGTATTCCTTCTATAGAACTGGCAGATTCTGGAGGCGTTGTTAGATAGTCGGCCCAGCGAAATGACTGAGCGTCTCTCTGACAATATTCTATCTGCAGAGTGTCTTCATAATCTGTGTAGTACATGATGTAAAAGTTACACATTTCATCCTTATGTTGAGGCCTGCAACAAGAATACCAAAAACAACTATACATTTTTTGGGCTCCTAATTGGAAATTTACAAAGACAAAGAATAAAAAGAGAATCACGACTGAAACAAATTGATGAAAAAACATAAGGGGTCACCAGCGTACTTTTTGATTTACCTTCCACTGAAAGTGATTTTTTGTTCATGTTTTTCTTTTCTTGCTTTCCTGATGACTCAAAATCAAGATTTCTTTTCAAATTAATAATTAGTTAATTCATTTTCAGGCATTATGCAAAGTTTAAAACAATGCTATCTTAAAATTATTTTGTTATATTCCAATGAGTAAACAGACTGCATTTTCTTGTTAAAAAAAGGGCATAAGTCGAAGAAAATGTTGTATTATTTCACACAAGCAACTGCTATTTAATACAATTATGATTCTTACCCAATTTGTGTGAAAAACTTTCGTTGACTGCTCATTGTACATCTTGAAGCCTAAAATAAATATAAGTTTCTTTTCATCAGTGAAATGTCACTTCACCAGACAACTGAACAGCACTTGTATAACAGAGTTAATTGTTTATAATGTGAATAATGGTAATTACATTTGTATACTTGTTCATAAAGGCTATATCAGAAATATATTTCACTTCCAAATCTGTTAACAAGCACAAAATGTCATTATCTCTTTGCATTTTATAGCAAATTAAACAATACACACCAGAATATCTCCCTTTCTGACAACGAGTCCCTCATTAGATGCGTCATAGAAAGTCTGAAATTATGTATATACATTTCAACAAAAACATGTAAATATTATTTAAACACATGTACACAACAAGCAAAATACAGAGTTTATGCGTTTGAGCTCATTATTTGACCGCTAACTAAAATTTTGAATAAAGAACCACGACATAAATTAAAACATGAACTGTGAAAAGGCAACAGAAAAGAAAATAATAATAACAACAACAATATAAATATTTTTTTTCAATAAACCCTCCATTTAAAAAATCACGTAAAGGAACCAAAACAATAAAATATACCTGTGGTAGCTGGGGAGACATACGTCCTATCTCGACCCATGTTCCGTTCCTAACTCTATAACCGGACGTCACAACACCTGTAATAATAATGCACGGTCTAACACACACAAGGATGGAATATGTAAGATAAATATTTATGTTGGAATGAAATTATCCAACAGTCATAAAATACCGCCCTACTCCCCCACCCCGGTTAATGCGGGAAATAGCCGGGAAATTCATTTTTGTTTAAATTTTTCGTTTGTCCCCGCCTTCATGATCGCCCAATGCAGTTATATTATTGTTTTGGTGCCAAAATAGAGGGGAGTAGGTTCAACCTGCAGTTTAGGGACTTTTAGGAGATTTTATCCTGTCACTGTGTTTGGGCCGAGTTAAAATTATCCGATGCATGATAGTGAAATCTACAGAATACCACTAAAATATATAGAATGCTATATACGAAGTATACATTCTTTGAGAAAAACAAAATTGTGTGCAGCAACATTTTTAACTTGTAGTAGACCCTACTTCTTCTTTATTTACCGAACACGTACCTACAATGGTTTTCGAAATAGAAACTCAATGGCGTTAATTCGATATTGTCCATTCCAAAGAGCTAAAATGATTAAATTTATCTCTCGAGTGATATATTATGCTCTTGAATTAAGTGTGTAAGTTTCAACCCATTTCCTCCAGTAGTTTAGTGAAACCCCTTTTGCACGCAGAATTTGATTTTTTTAAAGGATTTCCATATATAAAATTTCAACATTTTACCAAGATTGTGAGAATGCGTCCTGTATGCTAACGGAATGATCGTGTAATTCTTGTTAAACTCACACGCCGTCTCCATGTGGAATTCTAAAACAAAACAAAAAAGTGATCTACGTATTTGTGCAAAAATTAAATGTTTAATTTTTACAGGGTTTTTGAAAATTGTTCTGTTATGGTATACATGGAGAATAAAAAATAAAGTCACACAAACAAAATGATTGTATTGATAGGTACGAGTATTCAAAGACAAATTTTCATGTCTAATCATAATAAGTCAAAGAAATGATGAAATTTAGATAATGTTTGCTATGTTTCTTACTGAGGCAGTAGGAACAGAAAATAATTTAATTTAATGAAAGATATAAAGTAAAAGATTTCCGTAGAAAACTATATGAGCCGCGTCACGAGAAAACCAACATAGTGGGTTTGCGACCAGCATGGATCCAGACCAGCCAGCGCATCCGCGCAGTCTGATCAGGATCCATGCTGTTAGCTTACCAACTCTATTACAGGTAGAGAAACTGATAGCGAACAGCATGGATCCTGATCAGACTGCGCGGTAGCGCAGGCTGGTCTGGATTCATGCTGGTCGCAAACACATTACGTTGGTTTTGTCATGGCGCGGCTCATATATTTTGTTACCTTTAGTCATAGGAGGAATAAAGCCAAATGTATACATAACGAAATATCCAGCTTGGTATTTCTGCCTGAAGAGCGAATAAAACAATAATGAATAACGTGTAATTGTAATTCAAACCGCCAATACAATGAATTAAAAAAATCTTTAAAGTTAAGTCTAACTCGAAGAGTCGAGTCGGACACTAGGATTAACCTTAACCTCTCTAAATATTTTAAAGTGTATAGGCCAACAATGGGCACATTTTCCGGAAGAATTTAAAATATTGATAAAAGCAAAAGATAAAAAATTATCAGATTTTCTTTTAAAATATTGCTTAAAAAAAAAGTTGATGATAAAGGTCGTATTTAGTATGAACATGTATATGATAAATGGATTATAATATTTTGTTCTAAAACATTTTATTATCTGCTATATAAATACATGTATGTAATTTCAGATCATGTATCTTACACTTGCCAGAAACATCCGTATATATTTTTTTCCTGGTTAGTTGTTATGTCTGATACTAAATACTATCCGGGTAAATATTTACTGTATTACAGACCTATTACAGACCGCCCAATATAGACAAATTCTCTTTAAATGGATTTAACCATTTGTCCATCATTCATAGTTGTGCCGGCTGATTTCGGGCTGCAGTCTGCACTGGTCACGTCGGTATATTTAGTTGCCGCTCACAGGCTTAAGGGTGAAGTGTCATGGCAATTTATTAATAAAACTTTTCATATTTGACAGTTTTGTGAGTTGGAACCACAATAATAACATGTTTTTCTTTAGGATGATATTGGTAAGAGATATTATATACTTACGGTTTGTCTGTAATATACAGTGTAACTCCAGAATTGTCCGTATGTCCGGCTAAAGGAAAACCAAACTTACAATTTACACAGAAAATTAAGTAAAATATAGACGTAAAGGCAGAATGAAAACTGCATAATAGGATGAATATGATTACAAAAGCATTTTAAGCGAAACAAAAATGGGGGTCACCGAGGTCGTTTCCGAATTTTCTGACCTTGAATTAAAACACTTTGCTTACTTATCATTTACGTATCACAAACCTTTTTTTCTATTGGTTGATTTTGTTCATACCAGACAAAATTTCAAGGAATTCTATTTAATATTTGTGCTCTATTCTTAAGTTTAAACTGCAGACTGACACTTCTTTAGAGATAGGCCACCCGTGTAGTCCGACCTAGCTGTATCATGTCGGTTGTTCAGTTGTTTTATTTTGATATTGAAATCCCTTTAACTTCGGAAGAACTGCTCAAAATTCAAAGCAGGTCAAATTCATTAAATAATAAAAGATCATTGGTTAAAGTAAATGGAATTCCGCTAAGGTTTTTTAACATGATTGGACAGGAAATAATTTTTCGAGATTAATGTTCTATTTCATGCAGGTCAAGATCAATAACTTGTGTGCACAATTTCAAATAATTCGCCCACTCCTTGTTCCAGAATAATTATTCTAATAGTGAAAAATGACAGAAAACATAAAAGCGTTGCAACGCTTTTCACTCAAATCGGGATAAGAATTGCATAAAAACGACTTAGAACTACTTTATTTCTGGCTATATTTCTCTATTACTTTAACATATCTTTCTGTTTTTAGTGCCCCAGACGATCTATGTAAAAAAATCAAAGTGTATGTTTTTAGCTTTTGAACCTCAGTGGGGTCCCTTTACGTTAACAAAGACAAATCTTACAGATATGTAATTACCTTCAAATTGTTCAGCATAATGAAGTTGTATGACTATGTAGTTGATATTACTGCGGCCTCCAACACGAAAACCAACATCTGTCACAAAAGCCAATATTATCATATAATGCATTACAATTGTTCATTAAAGTGACATTATTCTCATATAAGTCTTTATTATAAATAAATCAACCAGGAAAATGGCCATCCAAGGCTTTCTTATTTAATGATAGATCTTTGACGGAACGCTTTACTTTGACTTAAGTTTTTGCAGCAAATTGAAATAAAAGATGATGAAATAGAGCGTAAATTATTCAAGTTACGGATCATAAAATACATTACGAATTCATTACATTTCATTGAACGTTCATCATTTAAGTAATAGAACAGAAATTTACCTTTATACGGATTTATTTCAGTTTATTATCCAATAATATAATTATAATATTTAAATCAACGTAGTTTTGGACCTGTGTTTCATTTTTTTCTGGTATTATAGTAAGATTATAGTAAGAAAAATGCAGTCATATTGTTATACCTTTAGGAAATGATCTTCCGTCAGCGTCCATTGCCCAGGCCCACACAATTTGTCTCTCTCCGTCCCCACAGACAGATCTTTGATTATATAAGATGTTGTATAATTAACATATCTTAAATTAATATCAATTGTGAATATACCTGAAAATGGAATCCTAATTTTGAAAATTAACATGAAGAAGTATCGATAAAAGGAGCGTGTACAAGAATTATATACGAAAACTTTCAAGTTTTGTAGGTATTTTTGTTTATAATATTATTTGTTTTGAATATATATATTCTTTATTTGAGTCTCATCCATACATAACAACATAAAACGATTCAATTACATGATTTTACAAAATAAAAGTTGTTTAAAAAAAATAAGGATTACAAGAGACCTAAAAATAATCTAATGGAAGGGAGGCAACTCTTCAATATAACTTCCAATATAACTTACAGAGTTACCTCTCTTCTCGTTGCATATTCATATGCATATTACAACTAAATATTGTTAAAATGAGAAAATACTGCGAAAGACTAAGAATTTCTGGGACAACTGCTTTATAGTGAAAACCCTAGTCATGTTCTCTTCTTATACCATAGATGATGTACAATTAGATAATGTATCATAAATCATAACTATTAACACATAATTTATTAATTAGTAGCACCATTTAAATGACTTGCTAAACATAGCATTGATGCATTGCAATTATATAATACTCCGAGAAGTAAAAGGGAGAAAATCATCTGTGAAGAAAATACTTTGAAATTCACATAACGATAATTGTAACCTGCTAGTGCCATGTTAGTCCAACTTATTGTACTACGAGTTGAGATATTGGGTTGATTTTGTGACTAGGCAATATATCTTCTCTAGAGGCGAGATTTTGACCCAGAACAAAAATGTCTCAAAATCTAGCCTTGGCACTCAAAATATTTTGATTAATGTCATGCTTGTCTGTTAATGAAATATGTGAATGACATGATTGCGAAAAACATGCTGTTCAAAATAATGTATGTCTGTAAATAAAAGTATGTAACATAAAACATTTATGATATGCCAATGCACGACATGTTTTTTTTTCTGTAAATGTCTGAATTTTAACATGATTATGTATTTGTGATTGGCTTAAACTCAAAGATATTTCCATCGAAGTATTTCCATCGGCGAATTTACATATACAATCTAACTGATAATTACTACACCTGTTGGAATGGTCATCCATTTCACCACATGACCAGTATGGCCTGTCTGAGCCCGGATTGCTACATCCATAAACCATCATGTGATGTGCCACATTCTTTGTTGCGTGGGGTTCAAACTTCACTGTATAAACAATATGATATAAATACAATTTACCCAAAATTACAAAGCCAAAATACAATTTACCCATAATAACAAAGCCAAAAGGCCAGTCTGTCTTTTTATAGAATTGCATAAAGAAATTTTAAGAATATTTTAATGGACACGGACTGGTTTAAAGGCACATTAAGTCTCTGACATGAATAAATTAAAGAGCAAACATGCGTTTTTTAAAATGTTTTGTGTTAATAACCTTAAGAAAATAGCGTTAAATGTGAAATGATTTGTGATAAAGGGAGCAAATGTAAACATAGTAATAATGTAACTTCCATTCAAAATGCTATTATACCATGTGTACTATTAACCAAAATGCATGACTCAAGTTTATGGCCAATGAGTTACGTTTTCGAAAATACAAAATGCTTATTTACTACAAATGTACTAATAACCGAAACGCATGACTCAAGTGTATTATAGTGTATTATATTTATATGGCCAATGATCAAGAAACTCACATATATAGGCCTCCTCCTGTTTCAGTTGAACCGCGTGACACAGTAAGTCGTCTGCCTAACAAAAATAATATTTGGTCATGAAAATATTAGCTGTTCGTGCTCTGCTAGATTTACACCTGACCATAACTACAGACTGTTGTACAAAACTTAAATGAATGCAATTGTTTCGTCCGGTATCGATTGTTTTTAAAAGAAATAAACTTCTGTAAGTGTGGTGAAACGATTTGAACTAAGTACCAATGCATGAAAGTGCATGCTTGTATGGTCGGTTAGTAGAGAACAGTTTTACCTTGACTCAACCCAACTCAACTCAACTTTATTTAAGTAAATAAAGGCCTCCGGCCCAAAAGTATAAATATAATACTAGTTAGTATTGTATACATGTATTGAATGTAGTTGCATAACATAAAATTTGAATAAAATAAGTCAAGAGCTGGTACTTTTAGAAATGTTTTCTTCATTTTGTGTATTCATCAGCGAATAAAAATCGTTAATTGTAGTACCATTTGAATACCAATCATTGAGATCATTAGTTCGGACGTCATTATAGTTAGAACATTGAAAAAAGGCATGAAATTCACAATAAATAGCAGTTACATTATTTTGGATAAAACAAAATAAACATATTCTTTCATGAAGCGGTATATTATTTTTTCTTGCATCTCAGACAGGATTATCTACCGTTGTCACCGGTGCTAGAAAACCCTGTCTTACACCCCCCATGTAAGACAAGTCGCATGCTTTAAATGACGTCATTGACGCGTGCCTTTTATGAATGAATTGCGTTCTTAGGATGACGTCATTTTTCCGTTATGAATGAAGTTGTATGTTCATACGCTACTATAAGAAAAAAGTGCGTAATGAGAATATCAGTTTTCATAATGTCTGTTCCGAAAACAATTGACATGTGATATGCAAGAAAAAGAATCAAACACCGGCTGTTAGTACATACGAAACCTTGCAAGAGCAACCATATATTTTCTTGGAATAGATCTATCACTGAAAAGATAACGTTGACTCTTAAAAAAATTATAATGGTAACAACGGGACGCAATATTTATATCATTATGCCATTTTTGTTCAAACAGTCTTTCAGTCGTTGATGAAAAGTTAAAATAAATATGTCTATATTTTAAATATCTTGTGCAAGCCATACATATCCAAAACCCTAAGTATAAAGTAGTGATTTTACGTATTTCGACCGATCTCATCTAGGGACTTCAACATTTTATAACATTGTCTCGGATATATATGATCTGGCATAGTCAACAATTTACACCAGTATTTTATAAACAGTATCATATTTTCTAGCAGTTTCATACCCGGATGTGCCCAGTTACATTGTGGCGCCGTTAAATGTCACAACGCCGCTAAATGTCGCACTTGCCGCTAAATGTTGCACCATTGCCGCTAAATGTCGCAACCGCCGCTAAATGTCGCAAAATCATTTGCCGTTAAATGTCGCAATGTTAACGCTAAATGTCGCATGAATTTCCCTTACCGTTAAATGTCGCAACACTACCGTTAAATGTCGCAAGGTGTAAATTCATGTTAAAATCATGATTAAAGTAGTATTATATTACTTTTTAACATTCTCATAGTTATTTTTATTGTAATTGCCATCTTTGTTTTATTTGTTTTCTTTTATGAACCTAAATATCGAGGTTTTGAGCTGCTATATAATGTAATCTTTAGGCTAGAAAGGATAATTGATACTAAATTCTCAATAGATAAGTATTTTTAGCTGATTGCATTTGGAAACCAGTTGAACAAGGGGTTTGACATTATCGGAAGATAGATAACAACCGCATGTACATTAATTATTAGAGCAACCTGATTAATAAAATCAGCTCCTAACTAACGATACGCTACATGTAAACATAAGATTTGAACTTTTATCATGTTGAAATTAACTGTACATTGTAGGCTATTAAATTTAAATGCATTGGCTGCGGTTGTATTAACAAACATATTAGCGAAACAAAGTAACCACAGTTAAATGATATCATATTCGACTTTCAAGTATAATCTTTCATAAGCATCAGCTTAATTGTTATGTCACTGGTTTACTGTATGAAAATTGTTTGGTCTTTGCCGTTTGGGCCCCGGATCAGTGGGTTTGAGTGCTATATTTTCCTTGAATACTTAAGTTGTTCAGGTGTGTGTTGAGGAACATCAGTCATTGATAAAATAGGGGGAAAAAGAACCCATAAAGAAAGTCCAAAACGGCAAAATTGAAAATGATGCAGGCTCCGTTTGATAAAGCCCAAATTAACACTGTCCGGTAATGGCCACGGTATCGCTACTGTGTCTTAAGCTGGTGAACCGAGGTGTTCCGTGGTGTTTTTCTGAGAAATCAAATTGCATTTACACATCCCCGACAGAGCCCAGGTGTATTCCCGGTTCAGAACCCGATATAGCACCGGATATATACGATAAGCGCCGATGCTAAATCGGTGTATTCCCGCTTGATTCCGTTGGAAACCCGACTAGACACGGTTTCATCACGGTCCATCCCGACCATCGCCGTTTTTGCCACGGTAATGCTATTGGTGATGCCGGTACTGTGCCGGTGACGCCCTGGTAATGCACCGATGCTTCCTGTTCAAGTTTATGAGAATAAAACTGACTGACCACGTTGACATCAGTCATTTGGCAGAGATGCCATCCGAAGGAAAGGGGATGGAAATTAGAAAAAAACCGAATTCCGATCGCGAGAATATCATAATACTTTTAAGATGTTGTCAATCAGGGTTATAAATGAAAAAGGGAGACAAAAGAAAAATACTTATCTATTGAGACTTGAATTTCAATTGTATCTTTCTAGAATACGCTTTCTAGCGTCAATATTACATTATATAGCAGCTCAAATCCTCGATATTTAGGTTCATAAAAGAAAACAATTAAAACAAATATACTTTTTGTTAAATGGCTATTACAGTCAAATTAACTATGAGAGCGTTTTTAAATTAAAATACTACTACTTTTAATCATGATTTTAACATCTTGCGACATTTAACGGTAGTGTTGCGACATTTAACGGTAGCGGAAATTCGTGCGACATTTAACGTTAAATGTCGCAACACTTTAACGGCAAATGATTTTGCGACATTTAGCGGCAGTTGCGACATTTAGCAGTATTGGTGCGACATTTAGCGGTAAGTGCGACATTTAGCGGCGTTGCGACATATAACGACGCCACATACATATCTAAATATGTGTATAAATATATGTAAAATATAAAAGTTTGTCCTGATATTAAAGTATCCATCACCATTTCTTCACTAAGTGTTTCCCGACTTATGTAATGAGATAAATACAAATGTATGCATATTGAATTTTTACAATTCCATTGAAGCTATTTCATTGAATCGTACTATATTACGTAATCTACGGTTGGTGTGTATTTTTGTTTATGTTTTTGTATTTCATTAAATAAGTTTTCGTTTGGTTTGCAGCGAATAGGTTCTTAAAAAGCTTTAATTAATATCAGTTTGATGATCGACATTGCTTTGAATGACGAATGTATTAAAACAATAGTTCTTCTTTTTTAAAACTGCATAGAATTAAAAAAAAATATTCAGTACTACACTTATGTTAGAGTATGAATGAATGTGTGAGTGCGTGGTCTGCCATATCTAGCTAAAATACTCAATGACTGTAATGTCTTTTATAAATATGTTTTCTAACTCCCCGAGTCTGAAAGATGTTCCTGACAATTCAGAATTTCTTTATTTAAGGTTCTTGCATAGTATTTCACATAGTATCTGATTAAGAAATATCCCATACCTTTGAAGGAACGGCTTGTGGCATTCGAATCGTTACAGAATACACATCCTCTTCCTCTTTTTGCGGTACACGTGCCTTACCTAACACATTGCACGTGCACTCAAAACACAGACCTAACACAAACACTAGGAAAAGTTTAACTGTTAAGTATTTACTAAACATTGATATGTTTCCTATGCCAAAATATTTTAAGAAGGCTATATTAGACTATAGGATTGACACTACACTTTAAACACAGGTCAAGAGATAAGGAACGTATAAAAACCCCATAGACAGACTAGTACATTACAATCATCACGTATTGTTTATTGTGTCCGAAAAATATTCCATTATAGAAACAGATATCTTGTTTCTATTATTTTAATTTTAGTTTTAACTTAATAAATATGTAGATCTATTATCTGTGATTCAATCGTAATGCCTGTCGAGGATGAAAGAACGCACAAAAGCAAAATTTCGTTACACACTAGACTGGCTTGATGTTCTTATCTTTGATGTACAAGTCCGTGTCAAAGGTCATAGTCAATAATATGCTATATGACTTGCACTCATTTGTTTGCATTTAATAACATTCCTTCAGCTAGATGTATACTAGTGGAGGAATTTAACTGGCACTCTACATGCATAAATGTGCAACAGAAATATAGCAAATTTATCTTGAAAATGAATCTCGCCATTTTGATTTTAAAATCGATTGTAAAGGATCAGATATAGCATATAACTTTACAATATCACATCATGATTAGCGGAAAAAACTGTTCGTTCAGTAATTAAACTGTAACAATTGTCCCTCACCGCTGTGGGTTCGAATCCCGACAGGGACTTTAGATTACTTCACGTGGGGAAACTATCCAGCTAGCTTACAGAACGTTGGTGGTTTTGCTGGTCAGTGGTTCTACTCAGATGCCCGTTTGTGCCCAAAATATTGCACGGAATGGTACCACGAGGTCTTCCTTCACCATAAAAGCTGGAACGTCGCCAGATTAACCTATACTGTTTCGGTGTGACGTGAAACCCAATTAATCAATCAAACAAACAAACGTTAAACTGTCATTGTGTATGTCATAGGCCCGAGGTATAGTAACCATTTCCAACAGAACAAATAGCGAGATAAAAGAGATGTAAGTGCTTGATAGTGGAGTAAGGACAAGTTTCACAGTATTAAGTGATAAAATAAGGCGTAACACGATCTTAAATCAAAATCCTAATAATTTTGCAACAACAGCTCCGCTGAGACTGTGCAATATACGTCCATTGGCAAATTTACAAGGCATCAATGAAATCTTTCAAAAGGTATGCTGTGAAAACCAATTGTCTACGGACGGACAGACGGATGGATGAACAACGCGATAACCAGAACAGTCCTTAACTAGAACTGCCACTGTCATGGCGTGATTACCCCCGCATACCACTTTGTCAAAATCAACAGTGGTCATTTAGAGCTCAAGGACAACGTCCCTGCCAAATCTGAGCCAGTGCATTCTAAGTTATGTATTCTACATGCTTCAAATGTGAAAATGTCAAAATCAATACACTGTGAGCAGTTGAGGGGAAAATTTTTTTATAGTTGACCTTTGACCCAGTACCCTCAAAATCAAAAGGGGTAATCATGACTAACCTTCATGCCAAATATGAAGACTGTGGGTCAAAGGAATCTTAAGTACATGTAATTGGGCGGACAAGCTTTTTATAGTCAAGGCCCCTGTGACCTTGACCTTTGACCCAGTGTCCCAAAAAAAGCAATAGGGGTCATCTACTAATCATGACTAACCTCCATGCAAAATATGAAGACTGTAGTCCAAGGAATCTTAAGTTATTGGGCGGACAAGCTTTTTGAATTCAAGGTCACTGTGACCTTGACCTTAAAATAAATAGGAGTCATCTACTCAACATGACTAACTCCAAGCCAAATATGAAGACTGCGGGTCAAAGAAATCTAAAGTTATAAGGGCGGACAAGCTTTTTGAAGTTAAGGCCCCCATGACCTTGACCTGGTGACCTCAAAATCAATAGGGATCATCTACTTATCATGACTAACCTCCATGCCAAATATATGAAGACTGTGGGTCAAAGGAATCTTAAGTTATTGGGCGGACAAGCTTTTTGAAGTCAAGGCCCCTGTGACCTTGACCTTTGACCTGGTGACCTCAAAATCAATAGGGGTCATCTACTCGTCGTGACTAACCTCCATGCCAAATATGAAGACTGTGGGTCAAAGGAATCTTAAGTTATTGGGCGGACAAGCTTTTTGAAGCCAAGGCCCCTGTGACCTTGACCTGGTGACCTCAAAATCATTAGGGGTCATCTTCTCGTCATGACTAACCTCCATGCAAAATATATTAAGACTGTGGGTCAAAGGAATCTTAAGTTATTGAGCGGACATGAAAAAACCGACGGACGGCTGGACGGACAAGCTGATTCCAGTATACTCCCCTTACAACTTTGTTGTGCGGGGGTATAATAAGTGTTATATATAGCATACCAAAGAATTCAGAGGAAAAAATCGGGAAGTACAAGAAAATGAATTTACTAAAATTACATACTGTAGTTTTGATAAAATGTGTATATTTATATGTGACAAACACAATAATAAACTATGTTCAAGTTTACAAGTCAAGAATAACAAAGTTTCACTTTAATACATATTTTATTTCTCCAACCACTCAAAGTTGTCAATGTTATAAATCATTTATAAATCAAGTCTCTAAAGCGTATAATTTCCACTTCACATCTTTCTGTAAAACTGGCGCAAATTTTATCACAGGATCTGTAAAGAAAGGGGCAAATCATAAGTAAATCAAGTGGAATATAAAATTTAAAAATAATACGTAAATCATTTTTTCTAGATCTTCTAAACACAAGTGGTAGTATAAGTAAATGATTTAATTTTCTAAACACAAGTGGTATAACAAGTAAATGATTATTTTCTGAACACAAGTGGTATAACAAGTAAATGATTATTTTCTGAACACAAGAGGTATTATTTTATCTTCTAAACAATAGAAGTATTACACATGTAATTAAAACTCTTCATCTTCTTCAACACAAGTGGTATCAAGTTTATAATTAAATCTTTTTAACACAAGTGGTGGTAAAAGTAAATCATTTTATCTTCTAAATACAAGGCACAATTAGACAAGACACAATTAGGTAACTATACGCATGTAATTAAAACATTTCATTTTCTGAACACAAGTGGTTAAATCTTTTAAACACAAGCGGTGGTAGAAGTAAATCATTTTATCTTCTAAACACAAGACATATTTTACACATGTAATTAAAACATTTCATCTTCTGAACACAAGTGTTATTTATTGCATGCTTTTCGGAGTTTTATAGAAATATATCAGTGATATAAAACTGGTAATTTCACTGTTTGAAACAGTGAAATTACCACTTTGATAATTTCACTGTTTTGAATTTATGCCCCTTACGTTGTTTTAGTGAAATGCCAGCGTTCACAGTACTGGGTACCAACTTAATGACGTGACGTCGTAAATGACGTCATGTTGCATTATTATTTGGCGCGCTTTTCATTCAGTATTAGGTTTAATGTCTTTTTGCATGTAATAAAAAGAAAATTTGTTTAGTTTAGTGTAAGATTGAAATATATTTCACCTTGTGAACACCAAAAGTTCATATTTCACTCGTCGCTGCGCCACTTGTGAAATATACATTTTGATGCTCACTCAGTGAAATATATTCCGATCTTACACTGAACTAAACAAATATCCTCTATTTATCATGTTTATAATTAAATCTTTTAAGCACAAGCGGTGGTAAAAGGAAATCTTTTATCTTCTAAACACAAGTGGTATTATATGTTATTTATAAAGGATTCATAAGGTGTAGTGTTAACATAAACACTGTTTCCTTATAAAGGGACCAACTAAAAATCATGAGAACAAACTTGATAGTGGACCATCTAACAATGGCAAAAAGTCATAAGGTTTATAAGTTGGCTAATAATAATAATTATAGAAAATAATAAAAGAAATTGACATAATTACCTAATTTATCTTCCCTATCTGCTGTTTGTATAGTTTTTCCCTGCTGCATGGCAAGAGCTATTGTATTTGCTGTCGTGTTTGGCCCAAGAACCTATTAACAAACCATAGGGAACCACAATTATGTTTTGGACATGAATTACAGTGTATATGAATTGTGTGCTTGATGAAATATTGATGGACTGACATTGTTGATGACTTTACTTTCATTATAAGAAATTTAAAAGCATTTTGCCGTTAAAAAGAGTTTGTTTCAAATTGGCATAAAATTGAAAACATTGCTTTGTTCTTACATGTATTGTACGAAAATCAATTATTTATGCCAAATATTGTTTTGTCTATATTATCCAAAATACAAGAAACTCTTCTGTTTTAATCTCATTACTATTTATCTCATTAGCAATCCCCTTATTATGGTATGATTAAATTACCTCACTATCTCATATTATAATCCCCTTATTATCTCATTTCATAATGCCATTACTTTATATCTTACTATATAATCCATATGTTATACATATTGAAGTAAAACCATTCTATCCATAAAACACCTTTAGTTGCTTGAGTTTTAAAAATCATATATGAATAATTTATCATATCTCAATAAAAAAGGTATTTTTAATTTATAATAGTGAACCATTTACAAAAATCAAAATGAATATTTAACGACAAAGATAGTATAAAATTACAGGTGTAAATTCTTGATCTGTCTCCTCATCCAGCCAGATCTGTGGTAGAGATTTATCTATCAATGAGAGGAAGTTGTCATATTGTCTCTGTATTTGTTCCCCTTGTCTGTCATAGTGAAACATCACCAATGCCCGCACTAATGACCTCATTTCATCTGAAAATATATCGCAATAATCTCAGACAAGATTACAGTATAACCGCAATAGAGCAACACTCTAAGGGAGACAATCAAAACTAAAGATTTAAGGTTGCTGTCAAGAGGTGTTGTCCTACAGAGGTTAAATTTATTGTGAAATCTTTAATTTGGGAAAAAAATGATACAGTTGTTGTGAAGAGGTAGTTGTTCTGCAGAGTTTGTATTGTAACTATGATTCTATGGAACTATGGCAAATATAATAAACTGCAGATATCTCAATATGTGTGGGCTGTGCTTCATAAAAAGTCCTAAGTGTATCCTAAGTCCTAGGACATAAAACCAACTTTTAGTCCTGAGAAAAGAAATACAATGACAGACACATTTATTTGCAACATGTAAATGCCCATCAGCAATGGTATTCAGAACTCAACAGTTATACAACATAAGTTTTCTTTGAAACATACGTTTTCTTTGAAACATACATTTTCTTTGAAACATACATTTTCATACATTTTCTTTGAAACACAAAATTGTCTCAGTTTTGGTATTAAGACTTATTTCAGATTAAGGCCTTTCTATGAAACGCAGCCCATGCTCTTAACTTGCGATACATTAATATTGAATCATTCTATCATATTAATCAGCAAGGTATTTTTTTAGCTAATCTGTGTAAAAACATCTTACACCATAAAACTGCGTACAAATATTTCGTAAATTAATACAGCATACCTCTTAATCCATCAACATATTTTATGATTTTAGCCAATTCAGCTATCAGAGCAAAGTCCTCAAATTCACTCCCTTCTTTCAGCCTCCATTTCTTATGTTCAGCTTTGCGGCGGTTCTTGATGGAACGACTAAAATTAAACATTAGAATCATTTTATAGATCTACAGACTGCATTTTTTTTCAATAGCAGACTGGTGTTTTTGTTAAATCTACCAATGCTTGAATTTTTATGGGGCATGGGGGAGCCAGATGAGTCACATGTTCCAAACTGACAAAATTTGACGCATTAGATTATATCTATCCCACAGATACCCACATTAACCTAACATTTTTGTATATATCATTAACCTAATCTGAGATTTAGGTACATAGGGTAAAACTACCCTAAATTGTGTGTACACAGTGTAAAACTTCCCTGAGATTTGTGTACATAGTGTAAAATTACCCTGACATTAAGGTACATGGTGAAAACCTACCCTAAAATTTATGTACATGGTGTCCTGATATTTAGGTAGATATAAAAGTATATAAGGTATAAAACTTACCCCGACATTTTACTGTAAGCAGAACTAGAAGTTTCAGCAGAGTATCTAGATGACTGTATACTCTCCCCCGTGGCACTACTTGTGTCCGAGAATAAATCAGCGTCTTGTACATTACCTGCTCCACCACTTTCTACAAACAAGAAACAAGACATATATACATTACAGATCATTCAACAAACTATTTACAATATATAAGATATTGAACGAGTGTGGATTTAATACAAAATTTATCGGACAAAATGAACAAAATCATGATATACAAGCCTCTGACGAGCTTGGTATTGTTTTATTAAAGGAGTCAATAAAAGAAATAAGAACGGAGTCATTTTTTATTGATGCACTTATATTGTAATAATAACATGAGGTGGTTTCTATGTATTGCATAGGATGTCACATATAGAGGGTGAAATAAAAATGAGTTATTTTACATTTGCATTCCTTATGGAAAAACATTGATAAATGTAAAATCAAACAATATGGTTAATCATTATTCCTCCTATTGCCAACACTCTTACCAATAAGTTCTAGTCTAGCTTTTTCCTTCTCCTGTCTAACAGCAGCCAGTCTGGACCGATATTTCTCAAAGTTCGCCTTCATTTGATCAAGGTTATTGACATGACCTTCAAAGCTATCAACTAAATGAGATTTCAGATCTGTCTCAATAAAGTCAGTTCTCTTATACTTGTGCATCTGTAAATATAAAAATATTTGTAAAAACTCGTAAGGTCGTATGTCAACATTCCAGCTATCTTGGTCATGGAAAACCCTGAGATGCTTCATTATGTATCACTAGCAAGTAACACCAACTTTATGTAAATTTGCTTCATGACCTACTAGATGTCTACACGCTTGCATGTACATCTTAACCTCTTTGCCAAGCAAAATGAATCTTTTCTTATAAAATTAAAACTAGTTGGGATGATAGTGGTGGTGGTGGTTTGTGGGATTTTCTGGAGGAAGTGTTTAAGTGCCCCAATGTGCATAATGCCAAGCATGAGTAGCAATGGTGTAGAATTATCGAGGTTCAATAAATTTGCTTTTAAAAATAAAAGTTACTTGTAACTGTTATTGATTATTATTGATTCAAAACGAATAATTTGCTAAAAATCATATTAGACAGATATTTCTACCATAATGCTTTAGACAGATATTTTTATCATTATGCAAATCAAATATTTCATTAGGATTTGTTGTCTAAATAGTTATATATAGAACAGTCTCTAATACAGTATAAAATACGTAATAGCGGCATAAAAATTATTCTCACCATACGAAGTGCCTCGTCCCATAAACATCCCTGTATTAATGTCACAATTGCTTCTTCTGAATCCTGTAAAAGAAAAACAACATATACACATACAGTACAACAACTGAAGAGCCATATCCCTTTGAGAGACAATAATAGAAATTCTATGTTAATAAAGGGGCATATTGCCAAAAATATGTCTTTCAGAATTACCACTACCTCTTGTCATCATAAACAAGCATGCTAAATTTCATAATGATAACTTTAAAATTGTTCAAGTATTGGGCGACATTAAAGATTAAGCATGATGATGACTAAAACAACAACGCCACTGCAGATATCATAAAAGCTTGACTTTTTCTTAAAAAAAAAAACCCCAGATAAGCTTACAATAATGAGGATGGTTTACCTTAGCATATTGTTCTAGAACTATAGCAGCCTCAGAATGTCTGCCTCTTGTCTTTAAATCATCTAAAACATAGAAAAACACTACATGTTGAATTAATTGCTACTAACCCGTACAGGAAATCAAAAATAAAGTATCTAAAAAAAATCTAAAAAAATAATATGAAATGATCTTTCTTCACTATCAAAAGTCTGAACAACAGTAAAATGTTTGTTCATGCATCTTAAGTAAATTCTTTAATTTAAATCACACATACCTAATGCTAAACCTTATTCAAATCAATTTTGAATTTTAAAAAAAAACACTAAAAAAAAAACAACTACAAAAAACATCAAAAACTAAATTTTACGAAAATAACCTGCGATCTGTCTGGCTGTTTCAACCTCCTGTTCTGAAGAGAAGTTTAATTGTGATGTCATACAGAACACCTGTTGCCATTGGTGACAGGCTGTAAATGAAGTTAATGCCGACTCCCAATTCTCTCCCTTGACAAACATAATGGCCGCCTCCTCATGTTGACGTTTACCAGCCAGTAAATCTCCATAGCAACTTGCTATTTCCTGAAATTAATGAGATATTTTCTAATTGGTTTCAGATTAAAGTCACTAAAACAAAGGTGTTATATAATGGTTACTAGCCACTGTGTGCAACTCCTATATTTCTCATACAATTTCAAACACTCTTTCACAGAACGATACTCATTAAATGCCTTTGTGCATACTTTGGGATTTTTGTAATATGATCATTTTATGATACGATTTGGTCTTTTTTGGCAAAATGATGCCCCTTTATTGTTATTTTACTTACTGAAAATTGGTTGAAATCCTAGTTTGGAGGTAATTTTTTCGCCACTTGTTCGACTATTACAGCAAAAGAAAACAGCTCATTCATCACAATATTGATGTAATATTAATCTATCTCTTACTCTGCTAAAGCCTTTACAACATTTGTATGTCCCACCAGGCTAAGAGACACTGGTGGCTGATTACTTTTGAAATTTAAACTTTGATGTCCCCCATAATTGATACTAGATAGTCCCAAAAATGGATGCTGGGCAAGTCCATTTAAACTAATGGTAAGATATCTTGATAAATGGATGCTGGGCAAGTCCATTTAAACTAATGGTAAGATATCTTGATAAATAGATGATGGGCAAGTCCATTTAATCTGATCATAAGATATCTCTGAGCAAGTCTATTTAATCCAATTGTAAGATATCTTGATAACAGGATGCTGGGTAAGTCCATTTAATCTAATTGTAAGATGTCATTATAAATGGATGCTGGGCAAGTCCATTTGATCTAATGGTAAGATATACAAGAACTGTCGGAGGACAGTAACGCTCGACTATTCGAAAAGTTGTCACAAGGGTGTTTCATTGAGTATAATTATGCTTACCTATATGAATACATAAAATTGTCCGAAAAGGTACAAACCCTTCAGTAGTTATGGAGATACCAGCTTACAAGCAAAAATTTACCTAGAATTTCTAAGTCGAAAAAGGGGAATAATTATGCAAAAAAGAAATCAGCGTTATGGGACTTGTGCCAATCATCTCAGATAATCACAGAGAACAAGTGTGTGAAGTTTCAATCCATTCCCTTCAGTAGTTATGGAGATACCAGCTTACATGCAAAAACTTAACCACAGGGACGCTGACAAATGGGTGACTGCATTAGCTCGATTATTCTGCGAATAGTCGAGCTAAAAATGGATACTGGGCAAGTCCATTTAAAGTAATCGTAATGGTAAGATATCTCCATGAGCATCTGGACAAATATTAAGACATGATGATGGTGCTTACCTTATATTGTGTAGTAGAGGAAAGGTACAGTTGTAAAGCCACAGTATGTAATTTGTGCTCATTGATCAATGACAAGCATTCACTGAAATGTTCCGGGCCTGAAATCATATATGATAAATTTGTGTTTAATGAAATCCTTCAATAGCCTATTCAAGATACATTTTACAAGCAAACTACTACAAAATCAAAGCTGTTTTTTATATTTTATAACCGTTCTAACACCAACATTTTGGAAACCTCCCAGATTTACTTAACTATAAATGGTAACTAAACCCTTATACCACTAACAATGGACTGGTTCATTATTCAATCTGGACAAAACCAGTCATCATTTTATACAGAAAATTTCAAAATATGCTCTGAATGAAAAGTGTACAGTGCAGAATTCGCCAATATTACTACGTCGCTAACTTAACCATTTACAAAAATTTGGCTTTAGTAATTGTAGAATTTTAATATTGAAATACCTATCGTAACAAAAGACCATTTCAAACACAAAACATGACAAGTTTATTACAAAAATTCAAGAACTCAGGTTAGGTACAGTAAGTGTAAAGTATTAATAAAACAATGCTTACCACATTTGACAATATTTTCCAGGGCCTTAGTATATCTTTTTAAATGTTTGTCTATTGTGTACCTCTGATAGTTTGTCTCCAATTTTCTCAGTTGATTCATGAATGGAATATATTCCTTTGGATCCTGCAATCAACCAAAACTATCTTAAAATAGTGTAGTACTTATTTCCATATACCACTTAATAATTATCAATTATGGGGCACTAATTATCCTGCTTTTGTGGCTAGGTGAATCCATGAATTTAAGATCATACAATTATTATTTTGTCTGCTGCAAGATTATTTTGCATAACTTTTTTTATCACATACCCATGTCACTTTTGTGACTCCAGAAAAATGTTATGGCAAGGTCTTGCATATATTTTGATATGAAATCACTTATACAAACATTATTAAACTGGTGTAGGTTCAATACTGAATTTATTGATCTTGTTGAATAAAATAATATTATACTCGCCAGAGGCCTGCATTATATAATTTTATTCAACTCTTTCAATAAATTCAGTATTGACCTTACACTCATTCAAAATACTCTATATATGCATTAATTTTTTTTGCAAAAACAGACAATCTGCAAATTTAAGAACCCTGGCAAGTGTTCTTGGCAAAACCATATTTTTTTTGCCCATGACATTAAGCAAATTCACAGTATTTAACTCCCATTCAAACATGTTGTTTGTTTTCCTCCTGCCTGACAAATAAGTGAGAGCTGTGGCCTAATGTGGTTTAAGTGAATTGGTCTATAATGGAAGGTAGATTATACAATAAATAATATGTTTATATAAGTCATTATTAGACATCAAGGAATTATATATTTGGTGGCTGTTGGCAAGTTTTAGATACATGATCAAGATATTACATATATATTTATATTGCAAATAATAAAATATTGTTTTTATACTTATGGAAAATGTGCCCATTCTAGTAGACCAATCCACTTTAAGGTGTCTGTCTCTCTGTCTCTCAAAAAAAGAAGGTACGTTTCAGTCCAACTTTTATTTTTTTCATTCTTCTTTTTTTTTGTTATACTTTTTTTTAAAATTTATCTATTTATTTTTTTAAAAATTTATATAAGGGAGGTGGGGGGGGGGGGTGCAGGGGGAGGAACTATGTTAAAGTCTTACAACAAAATAAACTAAACTATACATACCTTTTGTGATTTTTCAGCCACCATGAGAACTAGATCAAAATCATAGGTACCGAGTGCTACATCATACAGCTCGTTAACATCCACCAGAAATAGAAGATATTTCAATGTCTCCTCCGCATTTCTCTCCCGGTGATCATTCTCACAATCTGTAACATAATTTATTTGAGCCGCGTCACGACAAAACCAACATAATGCGTTTGCGACCAGCATGGATCCAGACCAGCCTGCGAATCCGCGCAGTCTAATCAGGATCCATGCTGTTCGCTGTCAGTTTCTCAACTTGTAAGAGAGTTGGTAAGCGAACAGCATGGATCCTGATCAGACTGCACGGATGCGCAGGCTGGTCTGGATCCATGCTGGTCCCAAACCCATTATGTTGGTTTTGTCATGACATGGCTCAATTATGTGCTTAACTAGATTCTTATTGTACAGAATAGCTTTGTGGGATATACAATTTAACACACAGCAATTAAGTCTAGTGACTCATAATACTTGTGTATTGTGTAACTTTATTTGCTCTGACCAAAAGCCAAAGGTCAGTGAAGCCTTCCTCCACAAGCTGCAAAATTCTTACTTTAGTGGAGGGAGACCCTGGATAATCCCCCTTAACTATTGAGGCATGTATAAATGTATGTTATATGATTAAAACTGCTTAAAAAATAGCCCTTACTTACATATCAAGGGCATATAATTTATCAAGATACAGATAAAGAAACTTACCTCTGAGATTTTTTACTAGCTGAAGAGCTTCCTCCAGTTGAGGCTTAGTTTTCCGAACATACGTTGTGATGATGGACAACATGTATCTAAAATAGTAAAAATATTTGTTGTCAAGGTTACAATTATGTCATTGACTGATGAAATAGAGGATGGACACAGCTTTGGCATTGTCTGTCCCACACTCTGTCTGTTATAAGAATTAATTCTATTTATAAAATCAGTTGCACTTGTTTTTACCGTAACAAAATATTGAATACTGAGAGAAAATTAGCAAGCATCTTTACAAAGCAATTCAATTTTATTGAGTATGCTTGTTCCCAGTCTTTCACTCATACACAAGTTATTGGTCTAGACCTACATCAAATGGAAAATTAATCATGAAAAATTATTTCCAGTCATATCAAGTCAAAAAAACCTCAGTGGAGTCCCTTTAAGAAAAAAATCAATTATATAATTTCCTGCATAAACTTCAAATGAAAAGTAAATTCATTTTCAAGAATTCAATAAGTCCTGTTTAAGGTTGATATCAAAGAATGAAAGTTTTTGAAAATCAACAGTCAAATACCCATCTGTCAACATATAAATTGGTGTGATTTTTAGCAAGTTATTTCTAAAATCAGTTAAGGTAGAATAATACAATATATCATACTTGTTTTCACTGATGGATTTAAGGGCCTCCCTGACTGCATCACATACTTTATCCACTTTGTTACCTTCTACAGTAGACCCATTACCAGCAGACGTAATCTTATTCCTCTCATAGGCTGCTGTATACATTGTTACTGTCACATCTTCCTCGCTGAATGTAAATATAATCAAATGTGACGCATTCTAACGACTGAGCTATCCAGCCGCTTACACATCTTCTCCCCTAAATAGTGAACAGCTCTGAACCGTGACACAAACATAAACACATAATGGAAAACCTACTTTAAATTTGCTAATATTTACCTTATTCAGAGTTTACCTAATTCAAAGGAATAAGTGGCCATTGGAATTGCAATATTCTTTTATTTAGAATAAGGCCATTGGCCCCTTATTCTATTGTTACCAAATTAACTCTATTGTTCTCTTTTGTTTTGTTTACAGTTAGATGCCACCTCCCTCTTTTTTTTCTCAATGGTGTGGACAGACGACCAGGTGCATTACGATATACACTATAAAAATTTTTTTATGTCTAAAGAAAAAATAAAAGAGAAAGTGTCTGTGTACTTACATAAGATCTGTGAGGAACAAGTTAATATGATTGACAGCAGCAATCTGTTGTACAAATAGTTTGATATTCTGTAAGAACATTTCCGGATTGTGATCATACAACAGGTTCATGTTAATTCTATGTTTCCTCATGATGGTAAACGCCTCAACGTACTGTAACCTGAAATGATACGTCCTTAATTGTAATACTATATTAATACTAATACTACGTCATGACAGCACCATCATAGTGCGTTTGCGACCAGCATAGATCCAGACCAGCTTGCGCATCCGCTCAGTCTGATCAGGGTCCATGCTGTTCGCTTACCTAGAGAAAATAATAGCGAACAGCATGGATCCTGATCAGACTGCGCGGATGCGCAGGCTGGTCTGGATCCATGCTGGTTGCAAACCCATCATGTTGGTTTTGTCATGACATGGCTCATATACTTTAAACAGATTTTATTTTCAGAAAAGACTCTCCTTTTAGAGTCTTACAGCATTTTTTAGTACAAGCCATTTGCAATGTTCTATGTACTAAAATAAAATAATATTTAACAAATAATATATTAAGGATATTGAATGAGTGTAGACTAAATACTGAATTTACTGAACAAGTTTAATAATATTGTTTTATTCAAGGAGTTTTGGGGCATTCTTTAGGGATTCTGTTTTCAATATTTTGTTTGATAAATGTAATGATCTTCCAAAAGAAATTAATATTTAATCAGTGATAAACATCAAATCATATCTTTGTTAATGGCTCAGTTGTGTCATTTTAGATGTTGTTTTTAATCCATACCGATTTAAAAGAAGCAAAAATATCTGACCTTCTTGAAGGTGACTTAGGAATAACTGTAGCATGAAAAGGACATAGGAAATCTTTTATTTAATAGAAGCCCATGTGAATATTATTACATCACCACGCAATAGTTATTACATATGTATGGGTAGCAGTACATGCCCACGTGATATCTATTAAGTCCCAACACAAAAGACATAGCTATGTATTATATTTTATAAGAGCATGCATTCTCAATTAATTTATTTCAAAATCAAAATCCCTCAAACTTACACTGGGCTATAAAAAGTTCAAACCAAGCCAAATTCATCACACAAATAATGCTTGGTACAAGTTTCAGAAACAAAAAACTCATGTGTTAAGATGAATTGACATTATCTGGATAACCTACATTTTCTGTATCACAAAACTGATAAGACACTAGTTTAACATACCTGTCAAGATGTTTACGTACAGCTGTGAGAACAAGAGCTCGAGGGTGAATGGTTTCCAGATTACCTCGAGGCATCTGAAGTATGAGTTTAGTGTCGTCTGCTACAGAAATAACAATTTGAGAACCTCTTTCTACACGACGTACACTCTCATCAAATGGATGAGCCTTACCATCTGACAATGTGGGCAGATCTTTAAAATAATAACACACGGTTAGGTTTATATCTCTTTCAAGAGTAAAATTTATTAAAGAATGTTTTTCATCATTTCATGAAACTGTAAAGTTGAAATCACAAAATTTGTGAAGTTAAAATCAAGGATAAATGAAATTAAAATCTAGAAATCAAAATGCTAAATGTCAAAATTCATGAAGTTTAAATCTTGAATTTGTGAAGATGACCTAATGAGTTCATGAAATTAAATGTCACTTTATTTATTTACCTTTTTTAAATTGGGTTTTTACGTTGCACAATTGCAGTGTAGGTCATATGGCGACTTTCCAGCTTTACTGGTGGAGGAAGACCTCAGCTACCCCTGTGTGCATTATTTCACACAAACGGGCACCTGAGTGGAACCACTGATATTCTGCAAGCTAGAAGAATAGCTTTCTCATATAAAAGAATCCTAAGATGCTTGCATGACTCAAACCCTCACTGGTGAGAGGTAAGTGATTTGAAGTCAACGACCTTAACCGTTTGGCCAAAGACACCCCTATTAAATTTCACTTCTGGTCGACAGTGATTTGACACAATATGAAGCATAAGGATACTGACCTTTGACCTTGGTATGCAAGGTGATACATCTACATGTATGGGACAACGTTGTCAACAACAAGAACTCATCATGTACAGAGAATGAAGTACAGTTACTGGCAACCTGAAGATAAAAACAACATATTTCATATAAAACTAATAAGGAAAGCATGTATTACATTTAAAATTTGCCCCTCAAAGAAGCACATCTTCAGATTAAAGTTTTATGTTTTTGTTTTTAATTATTTTTTTATGTAATTTAAAGCGTTCAAAATACTAAAATTGTAAAAAGAAAACAAGACTTGTCAGAAGGACAGTGTGCTTGACTATTCTCAGTGCTTGATAGTAACACAAGTGTCTGGATAATGTAGAAATATCTAAGTTCAAAAAGGGCCATAATTCTGTCAAAATCCCTGTAAGAGTCATAGGCCTCGTACTATGCTCTCAAATAAATGTGTGATGTTTCAACCCATTCCCTTCAGTAGTTTTTGAGACACCAATGTGCAAGCAAAAACTTAACCCAAATGTGTTGCCAACACTGGGTGAGTACTATAGCTCTCCCTTTTCTTCAAATACTCAAGCTAATAAAATACATTGGACAAGTCCATTCTAGAATTTCAGAAGGTAAAAGTTTGATATGATTTAAAGTTGTTAACTTATCTGAAACTTTTATCACTGCTACTAATATATTTAGTTTATACAAATTTATTTTAGTTTGATTGTGTTGGAAGCTATAAGCTTATTAAAACACTCTCGAATCTGTTTCTGGAACCAACCAGTACTAAGCAATGAATGTAAAGTATCTTGCTCTGCCCCTTACAAGGTTTGGACACACGCCTTCAACAATCCTTAGATTACTAGTCTGAAGTTTTAACCATCTGACCATGCTGTCACTACCAATATATCTGAAACAGTTCTGATACTTACCTCAATATTGTTGACATTAAATCTGTATCTCTGAGTTAATCCCAAGACACATGTCTGAAATAATATATGGAGTCATTTTCTTATTATTAAAATGTGCAAAATTATGAATAAGAACTCTCAAATGCTTTAAAAATTGGTCAGTCACACTGATTTCATATAAAAAAATAAGCCTTTGCCACTACTTTAGAGCCAGGCCAATTTGTACATCAGTTAAAATGCTGTAACCAGAATTAATTAGTTTTTGCCATTCATATAGTCAGGACAGCCTACACTTACTCTCAGTCTGATCAAACTTTATACTGTTGGTACTTCAATTTTTGTATTTTGATATTGAACTCCCTAAAACTCTGCATGAAGTGCACCAAATTCAAAGCTGGGAAAATCTTACGTACTGATTCTGCAAATTAAGGTTTATAGACACAGGTTTAATATGACAGTTACCTCCCCTCCAATGTGACAGAGCGCCATCTGTGAACAATGAGAAGGAAACTGCACTTCAATGCCATCAGTTGTCTCCCATGGTAACAACATCTCATCCTCTGAAACAAATAAATAAACTGAATACAAAAAAATTAAAAAAACGAAATAAAATATGAGCCTTGTCATAACAAAACCAACATAATGGGTTTGCAACCAACATGGATCCAGACCAGCCTGCGCATCAGCGCAGTCTGATCAGGATCCATGCTGTTCGCATGGATCCTGATCAGACTGTGCGGATTTAATTTAACATTAACTTTTAATTTGAGACACATTCTATTTGCTCTGTAACACTTAAATATATACAGATACTAATAAAACTTCAATAAAATGTACATTATGTAGCTATAAATAACTCAAAAGTTTCCCCTATATCAAGTTTGTACCAAACAACCTTCGGTAAAATATGATACTTATTATTTTAGAGCAAGTAACAGCTTTTGGACTTTAAACTTCATAAATCATAAATGCAGGCCATGATTTCTCTTCTTTATTTAGTTAATGTACCTGGTGTATATTTAAGAACAGTCCCATCAATTAGTTGTACAGCTAAACATTTACTGCACGAGTCATATGCTGTATTAAATATCCTAGATTCTACCGCTGAACTTCCTCTGAAATAATACAATGTTACTACTTTATAACATGATAAAAAAAAAATAATTTGGTAATATTAACTAACATGCATGATGTTAAGATAATAATTTTTAGACATTTCATATTATTCCCCTTTTTTAGTTTTTAACAGATAGGAATGGGTCAAGTGCAATAATATATGCATGGCAAAGAAAGGGAATGCTTACATGTTTTGGTTTAAACATATAAATTTTAGCTCGATTGCGAAACAAGGTCTTGCAACTTACATCAATCACTTTCGAGTCCACTTCTGGAACCAACCAGTACTGGTGTCATATGAACATATGTGGTTTTGACTTGATTAGGGCTCAAACCCATGATTCCTAGGTTGAGAGGCAGACACCTTAACCAATAGGCCACAATGCTTACATGTCACATGTTGACATCAATAAATAACTAATTTGGAATCAAACACATCTTACTTACAACAGTGTATTTCTTACCACATTTTCACTTATTTATGAAATTTTTTTACATCCACATTCAAATATAGTTCCATCTAGTGTGAAAATTATATTCTATAATTAATCACTGTGAAATTATCAAAATGTAATTTCACTGTCTAATGAAAAGCATGTAATAAAAATTTTTCATTTAACCATATAACATTAACTAACTTGCCAAATTAATGGAAGAGAAAATAGCACATTCTATAAATTTTATTGAATATTAATACTTACATGACAGTTATTTTCTCATTGTCTATCTGTGCTTTATGGATTATAGAATGGGGTGACCCAGATGTGGCCACCGTTGTAAACAGTATAATATCTTCAGATATCCACGTAAAATGGGATGTTGCCAGTGGATACCCACAATCTTCACCTAATCCTTTGATACTGGTTGATTAAAAAATGCAAAAAAATACAAAATAACTGCATTAAAGAGAAAATGTGTGTACATGAAATTTATCTTTCATGATCATATATTCAATTTATACAACATATGTTGAAAAATGAGAATTTTCTTGTGAAGCAAGTTATTAAACATAAAACTTACATGGTAACTATTCAACTCACATTGTAAATTTAAAAACAATTAAACCTACAAATGTACATGGTAACTATAAAATTGACAAGGTAACTTTAAAAGTACAAAACTGGCAATCATGGCTAGTTTTAAGTCATATTTTTTTAACTTTCCAATGAAACTATCTTTAATTAGAAAAAATATACATTTCTATGTTTAAGACACTAGCTGAGGTTAGGGTTATTTTAACAAAAGCTGTCAGTCAGAGAGCTTGCTCAACTAATCTCAGCTAACTGATGTTGCATAAAAAACTATAACAGTACACAAAGGGGCAAAATTCTGTCAAAATCTATGTCAAAGTTATGGGCCTTGGACAGTGACCTCCTATTATGATCTCAGATATGTGTTTAGCAAATATCTTCAGTGGTTGATGAGATATGATGCTGAATAAGAAATTTGCCCTTAATTCAAAATTTAAGCTGATGCTTACAATCTGACTAATAATTATTCTTTGAATAGTCAAGCTTATAAGTTTTCTAGAAAAACATCACATAACTGCTGATCTTTAAAATTATTTTACCTATAAATTCCTTGTAGAGAAGGAAATGTACAACATCTTTTAAACCCATTTCCTCCAGCTGCATTAACTTTGACCTCTGACCCCGATTTACCAGTCTCAGTGAATTTGAATATGGCAACCCTGTTATCAACAAGTATAACTGCAATATTATTTGACAGCGGGGGCGGAGCAAACACCACTTGATTGACACTTCCTGGTAACTGTAATTCGTAGGCTGACATTGGGGGAGGGACTACCATGTGCCGCATTGGTGTCATCAAGACATTTGCTGGAAAGTGGACAAAAAAAAGAGAAATTATTATACAAGAGACAATGACAGATATGGTGAACTAAAAATAATTAAAGTATATTTATTTTTAGAATAAACAAAGCAAAAAACATGAACATACATGTATATACCAGTATGTGTGTTAAGTCAATGGCCATTCATCAGACTTATACAAATGGTAACATACATAAGTTGAGTGTTTATATACTTCCTAATTTTACTCAGCAGGCATACTGTACATTGGAAATTTTAAACACCATTTTGGCCAGCAGAAATTTTTTTTCAATCAATTTTTTTTTTTTATTTGCCTAGGCCATATGACTAGTGTTTATTTCGAAGACTGTTATTTCAAATATAAGAAATGGTTAAACACCTATTTTTGTCAAATTAGTGACTTTGATATTACGATGATTTAACTGAGAAGACATGCCCACGTAAAACGTAATACATGTACATGACCTAATAAAGGCTTCTATGTTGGCATGTAATACTATCCCATGCACATGTATAATCTAAAGATTGGCCACATCATAACTATCACATGGGCAAGGGTAAACAAAGGATTTCCTGTATCCTTTATATGCTATTGTAGAAGGAGTTCCAACCTACCTCCCCTGTAAATACCAAAGGGGACTTAAAACTAGGGGTGTCACGTTTATCCGTTTAAACAGGTACGGACAGTTTTTAGCTGAAAACCAGTCAGAAATAAAGATGCATACAAGTTTTAGATTGATTCTAAATATTACTTTAGTGTTTTATAACAAGATAAGATAATTTGTTTGTATTTTAGTTTTACTCAACAATGTATTTTTTCCGATCTCATCGAGAACGGTATGACGCTGATGGAAAATAGTTACTACATGCATTTTTCCAATATGTATTATAATCATTTCGAGTACAACAAAAGAACAAAATGTCATATTTTGTCATAAAGAAATAAAATTAATGTTAAAAATATAAAGATCTTATTAGTGCGGTCGTTTAAAGATTAAACATGGTTATTAGGTCACCATTTAAAGGGACAGCTTTTTGTCTAACCGTGACATGCCTACTTAAAACAATTTAAAATACCTACCTCCATCAATCACAGCTACTATGGCCTGATCATCACAGCTTCTACCTGCACTATGTGTTGTGGCCCAGGCCCAAGTATATTGAAAATACCCTCCATTTTTACACACTATATGCAGCTTATATTCTTGTTCCGGGTCCCATATCATAGCACCTATCTTTTGTTCAGGGCCCTCAAAATGTAAACTCTGTTTAAGATACCAGTGATAGTTCCCTGTAGTCCATAATTGCACTGAAAATGGACAAAGTTCCTGATATACCACATGATTTATTTATTTTTCAACTTTACATAAAAAGGTTTTGAAGAGGGGAACAACACATCAAAACACTAGGTTGGTCTATATACATGTACTGATTTCTAATACCGATTTTGGGTAATATAACCCTCTTTATGATGACACTGCATAGGTTATACTGGGACTTTTCACCTTTACTGGCAGAGAAAGACCTCAGGAAGACCTTCTTGCATTATTTCAGTTACAAATGGGTACCTGAGCAGAATTTTGATATTGAAGCATGACCTTGATCCATCAGAATACAGACTGTCACCTTAGTGCAATAACGTAAAAAGTGCTTCTAAATATAATATCAGTTATTCAGTTATTGCACAAGGTGACAAGACATTGGTTGTCCCCCCTTAACATTAGAAAGTCATTAGAGTTAGAAAGAAAAGTTCAATGTGGTTTAACCTAGTTTTTAACCTAGCTATAAGGCAAACAAGCAAATATATAGTGACACAAATATATTTACTTTAGCACATGCCACGCTAATTATATCTAAACAAGACATCAAAACAAAGCAAAGCATACAAAGAGTATTATATTACTCGAAACTAGTAGCAAATAAAATCTTTAAACTCGACCTGGTGTTGTATGTGTGTTCCTGACCTGTTTAAATCATTATTTTAAAGCAAATATTTGTCTAAATAAGACATTGTGTTGATCAATTGAATATGTTTATACTATTAACTAACCATAAGATTTCACATTGTTCCCGTCTGCCAGATCTTCACACCAGACGGCAAGTATAGTAGAGTCATTGTTCCAGTAAACTTCCTTTACCTACATACAATAATAATAATTCTAGATTTACTTTATCAATCAATCTATACATGTATGCGAATATACTGAGATAATATGCAGGTGTCTGACTGTCTTTTATATCACGAAATCCAAAATTTCTTGGCTCAAAATAGCTGAATACAATTTTGTGTATCAATATAATTTTAACAAGAGCTGTCAGTAGGACAACGTGCTCGACTTGTTCAAAATGGGCCACAATTCTGTCAAAATCCATGTAAGAGTTATGGACCTTGAATGGTGTCCTCCTATTATGCTCTCAAATAAGTGTATGAAGTTTCAACCCATTCCCTTTAGTAGTTTTAAACATACCAACTTGCACGCAAAAACTTAACCAAAGTGCGACTTTGATGTTGACACCGATGCCTGGGTGTGTACAAAAGCCCTCCCTAATCTTCAAATAGTTGAGCTAGTAAAATAAAATCTGGACAAAATTTAAGTTAACAATGTTTGTTACTTAATTATCAATCACTGAAATATCACTTAATCTTTACCATGCCAATTTTTTTAAATACCAATTTAGGCACAGCATCAACATCACCACATCTTAAATGACTACATTGTAATAAACATTTAGTTTTACCTTCACTTGGTCAACTGGGAATGGTAAAGTGAATTCTCCATGCCGTAGACCATTTCTCTCAAAGAATGCAATGTCATGTTTGTTAGGGCGTCTCTGGGACGTTGCTATCAAATTTCCACTTGGCCTTAAAATAGAAAACTAACTAAGATTAAACAATAACAAGTAATTTCCTACTGATATAACTTGCTTATAAATCGATAAAATCGGTAGTAATTCTAAGTAAGCTTGAAAACATTATGTGCCAAATTTTGTGTATATAACCGGTACTCAACTGTCAAACTGTTATGGCAGCAAGAAATAGATTCAATAATGTCATTTAAACGTGACCTTGACCTTAAAACGATTACATTGCAAGTCATCTTGACCAATATTTACATTGTCCTATGGCATTTTTTATGCTACAATATTACTTCAAGAATTGATGGGCATTGAAATGAGTCACTGTTCCTTCAGGTGTCAGGATACTTCAATACATGAGTAAATTCAAAATTTATTGACCTTTAGGTTTGCCATTGACAGTCGGCATTTTAATAAATGTTGTAAATGCAATGTCACCTGCTAATTTGCTTCTGCTGATTATCAAGAACTAATTAGAAACATTACCTCCAGGAAAGAGACTGTTCAATACCATTTACATCCTCGCTGGTAGAATGATGTGCTCCCTCTCTTGTCCATACATGAACCTTACGAGCACCTGTTATAACATATACAATGTACATGACATCAAATGATATGTTATTTTAATGTTTTATTTATATTTTGATTCACGCCCTTTAAAACCATGTGCATACACGCAACACCACTTTTTTCAAAATAAAACTAGAAATTCATCAATAGGACATTGATCCCCCACTGTTTTGTATAATGGAACATTTATGTCAAGATGCATTCTGTTTTCAGCAAAAACAGATCAAAGTAAATGGCAATTTAGTCCCAATTAGCTTTTAAGGGAGAGCAATGGAGTCACTGGTTCAAAGCATGGGTGAAATTAAATTTCTCCATGGCAACCTTGGACATTTAAATCTGATTGGTTTGCTGATTCAGAAATATATGGCATTTGTAGTTGACCACTTGCAGAGAAATTGGTAATTACTTCATATTTATCCAGGAAAGCTAGATAAGTGGACGTCTGTCGAGTTATGCCCAAAACTGTGTTAAAACCATAACAAACACAATCTTAACTTTCACTTTAATTTTGCCTGAACTATGACACTTAATTAAACCATTTACATACCTGTTTGTGGATGTATAGAACTTATTGCGAAGTACTGCCCATCAGCTTTCCACGATATTCTAGGTATATGATCATCCCACATCAATGCTGGCGTCACCTCCTAAAATTATTAATTATAGTAGCTTTCAAGCAATTACTGATAAAAGAAAGTGCACACTTATAAAATGGGTCATAAACTTTTATTTTGCATCTGATACAGTACTTTATCACATACCCATGCCGATTTTGCAACTTCGTAAAAACGGTATTGCACGGCCGTGCACATATTTTGATCCAAAGGCTCGCATAATATAACTTTATACAACTTGTTCAATAAATTCATTATTGAACTTACACTCATTCAATATCCTCTATAGATATTTATTTTTATGTTTAACATTTGAATGTGTATTACAGTTTATTCAAACTCGCCACCAGTTGTCCGTATGGGCACGTGCTCCTGATGAGTGCTAGTCATTTTAGATTTATGAGTATAGCAAATGATACAGAAAAATGCCCATATTTCAAAAAGATCTCCCTTTTCTTTAGCGTGCCAAGTGTTAAAGCTCTCATACATGGAACCTCAATTCAAAGTCTCATCTAAAAGACTGTATAGTACATAAAGCCAATAAAAGGCTCAACAGAAAAATTAACATGTAGCTAAATGTATTTTTGCATATTTCTATATTCTCTATTGAATTGCTAACATGTAATATGTGGTTTCTTTGCATTCTTTCTTTTCATCCAGTATGTAATATGCAAGGAAAAGAATCAAATCAAGCCTGCTGTTATAGAGTGGAATATATGCCTCAGCAAAGCCTGGTTACCAGTTACCATTAGGCTGGACAATTTGATAGAAACATTGTTTATGTAAATTACTTTAAAAATCATGTTTGACCTTACAAAAATCAAACTTACATCAGGCCTAACATGTGCAGCTTGTTTGCCCACTGATCCATGAAACTGTGTCTCCTTCTTCCCCCACCCAACTTGTACAAACTCAGCTACAAGAAAAGTATAAACAAAAATCTTACTAAAACAAGCATGTTTCAGCAGAAAACAATGAAATTCTTTGACTTCTCCAACAGATCATTTACATAATGTATTTAATAGATAAAATTTTTGCATTGAATCAATCAATTAAAAAAGCAACTTGTGATATAGTAGCTAATATTTATCTTATTTTATTAAATATAGTTTCTGATATTTCTGCCTTTGATTGGTCTATCGGAGCAAGCCATCATTTATGCCTATAATATTTTAACTTTCCTCACATTTCTGTTTCTTTTTTTTTGTGAGGGGAAGGTAAGAAGTTACCTGTTACATTGTTTATTAATTTATTAAGATACAAGCAGACAAAAACAATCAGGTCAGTACTTCTCTGCACATCTATACAGGTGGACATATCTTAAATAAATAATGAATGAAAACATGAACATTTTTGAATCTATCTGCCTTCTTGGATCTAAAATAAAACACACCCACTGTCTTTCTCAACAAGTAAAAGCTTGAAAGTCATCTTAACAGTGTAAGCTTCCCTACAAACCAAACCCAATAAGTACATGTTCTATCAACTTACCTTCGCCCGAGTTGTCTGGATGTAAACTAAGCTCAGTTATTGGATCAAACTCTCGTGTCATCACGATCAATGTCTGGGCACCTATAAAATATATAATGTTGCATAATTACATTTATACAGCAAACAAATCATACAATCGCCACACAGTCTATCTACTTATTCAGGAGTTTTTTTTTCTTCAGTTTATCAATTATAACTATGACTAAAATTTTCTAATTCCTCAAGATCAGACTGTGAACTTATGTCTGATGCATTGATGCTTTTAGGCTTGTCTCTGACATTTCATACAAGCAAATGGAATATAATTATTGCATATTTAAATTTTTAATTAACTGATCTTGTACTAAAAAAGTACTGGTACCCCTATAGAGGCTAAAATAATTCTGATCTCCAGCTTAAGTCATAGCATTTTAATTCAGATATATGTATAAATTTCTAGATAATCAAACTTACCTGTGGTAAGGATCACCAATTCCTGTTCGGGACTCCACGACATAGCTGTGAGCCCGGACTCCACAGTTCCCACACATTCTACCTGTTTTAATACATGAATGTAACAATGAGATAAGAAAATACTGTAAAATTGTTTTAATAAGTCAAGGCTCATGCTGCCAGGAGTCAATTAGCAAATTGGCAACAAAATTAATAAATATGCAAAGGGAAATTATGATCGGCGCAAACTTACAAAAGTATGACTTTCGGAATCTCCAGTCTAATTTTACATTTTGCTACTCTTAGAAATGGGAATAAACTGTTTTGGTTGTCTAACTACTACTTTCGTTTTACTGCTATTTACTTTTAAACATGAGATCCACTATATTTATCATTAAGTTTTTTTTTTTAAAAATGAAATAAATTATAAATAATCAGGCCATGGAAGAAGTAGTAAAAAAGCTTGGGATTGTTAAGTGTACATGTATATTAATGAATGTCACCAACAGGAAAATAGTCAAGTAAAATTAGCTTTTTCAAATATAAGTTCCAAGATTAATCACAATATGATAAGTCAACTTAAAATTTAAAAGAAACTGACATACATGTAATTGGGTGCTCTTAGGTACTGCAGTACTTAATATTTCCATAAATTTACAAGAAAGAAAAGGACTTATTTTACTGGTATTGACTGTTACATCTTTACTATCAAAGTTTTAGTCAATGATCAAAGAAACTAACATCTAGGTCAATCTCCCATAATTATATGTGGTGCCACTTATGCTTATAAGCACTTATTCGAATCATATCGCAATATTCATGGGGAGACATTACCCACAAGGAGTACTGTATGATGTTCATAAAATGAGGACTCACTTCCATAGTAACATACCTCATGTGACAAAACATTCCATAGCAACAAGTCACCCTTGTTTGTGGCAGCACAGACAGAAAATTCTTCTGGTAAATGACGGATTGATATAAATGTTGCATCAGATGTTTGATCAGGAACATTTGCCAGGTCCAACTTCCCACTTATCTAGAAAATGTTAAAAATATTTATGACAAAAATAATTCACTGGATTTATTCCATGATGTCAACCAGTTTGTTTTTAAGACATTCCATTCATTTTACTCACAGGACAAGTATCAGGGCTGTCAACTGGCCACAGGAACTTCAAATTCTATCAATATTAATGATAGTATCCAAAATATACCCCCTATACAGTATAAATAAACTTATTTATACTGTTTACTTATACTGTATAGGGGGTATAATTTCGATATTATCATTAATATAATTTCAAGTTCCTGTGAATTGACACTGTTATCATAGTCTTGACTTGTGAAAATAAGTAAATGCATGCATTGGACTCGTGATAAAATCTGCTCATGAGTCAATTTTCCACACTGGTCTTTTCTGTTACTGAACCTGTAACTTACTGTTACATAATAAAATAATTATGATGTCAGCTGCTTCTGGTATAATGTGACAATGGTCTTGTTTATTTGATTTGAAATCAAAGAGAAGTCAATTTCACTGAAAATATCATATCTGGATTATCCCAAAAAGTGATATTCAGTATAATTGTATCCGCCCAGTTTTGGGACTGTTTGATATCATTTGCCGATTAGAGAATCTATTTTGCTGTAACCGAACCGATAGACTACATATACATAAGAGCAAACTGTGATTTCAGTGGTATGAGATGGATCATTTGCAAGACAATTAGATAAATGAGTCTAACAATGTATCTAATTAATTTGGGGACATGTGCAATTTTGCTTATTGATGTATTTTTCAGTCTTACTTACATTATGCTATAAGAACTCAGTGTAAGCAAGTCTTCAAATGAGGCATTGTATGGACTTACCGTTCCTGAACCTGGATCACATTCTAGAAGTTGTCTATCTGTAGCAATGTAAATCGTGCCATTGTCAAAGTTTACATCTACACACTGGGCACCAGCTGCCTCTTCTATCTTGCTACATAAGCTGGTTGCTAGCTTCAAATTCTTCATTCTCTTTCAAAACTTCTTGTGTTATCTGTCATTTAGAGAGAATAAATAAATTACATTAAAACTAAACTTTATTATGTATCACCTCTCAGTCTTGCCTAATCAATTTCTATATACTCAGATGAGGCACGAGTTGTCTAAACAGGTAAGTTGCTTAATTATACTTTATTTATAGTGTTTTGATTTGAAATCTCTTAAAATAAATATAATAAAAAAATTCAACAGGCCTTTTCATTTTGAGAAAAAGTACCTTTAAGTATTGTCCAGAAAATTTTGAGTTTTAAAATTACTTTGTTGGTTAAAAAAATATTTGGTTACAGGTACCTTTGGAAATCTCATTTTAGGCTCTTTTTTGATTGTGTGACATTATTAACTATAACCAAATGTCAACCAATTTAATGAAATTTGACAAAAAATATGAGGAGACATCTGTCTGTTATGATATTGGAATAAACTTCAGCAAACTTGTCAATTTGGATATCAGTAATTTCAGTTTGATTGGGATCTGTTTTAAAAATTGGGAGAAAATAATCATTGGATCAATTGGAAATGGGTCAGATAATCTGACCTGTGGTGACAATGGGAAAAGGCATGATTGAAAATGGGACAAAGCTATTTATTAAACGGTATAAAGCTATATCTGATGAGAAATTTTGTAAAGATTTAAAAGCGGTAAATACATATTGTTTTCATATCCTAAAGGTAATATCTCGAAAAAAGTGTTACATAGAATGGCCATGTTATTAATAAACATACATGAAAATTGTACGTAAATCAGAATAAAATGTTCCGAAACATAATATTCCCCTACTATTTTAGTTGGTTTAGCGATTATATAACACATGTTCCACCCGCTTTCATTAAAATATATGGACATATTTCTTGTTTTATGTTTTTGTAGCTATTTTAATTATAATATTAACAATATTTTTGACAAAGATATAGCTTTATACACTTTAAATAATTTTGTTTTTTTTTCTGTATTTTACATATACAAACACAAGTCATTGGTGTACCTGTCTGTCATACTGTCTGCAGTTTACAAATCTTTGAAGACTTATTATCAGATTATTTGAAACATATATTAGCTGATTTATAGTACATGTATATAAATGACATCTCAATATTTTTTTCATTTGATTTCCCTGTTCATAGGCTTTGCCCATGTTGTATGATTCTTCTTCATACTTATTAAACTCTGAGCTATATTCAGTCAGGGCTCCACGCTGGGCGCAAAAATGTCAAAGGGTGAGAAAAATGTGCAGCCTGACCGGGACTTGAACACCCGGGACCCTCGGAATATGGTCACGCTGCTCTACTGACTGAGCTATCCAGTCGCTTACACACCTTCAAAGAGTGAACAGTTCTGAACTGTGACATACTCCCCTGCTCTGTTGAAATTCGTCCTCAAATTTCACAGAGTTACAGAGCAATAAAAATTAAACTCTGAGCTATATTCAGTCACGGCCCCACTTTGGGCGCCAAATGTCAGTGAGAAAAGTATGAAGCTTGACAGGGATTTGAACCCGGGGCCCTCAGAATACTGTACCATGACTCTACCGACTGAGCTATTCGGCTGCTTACATCTTCTCCCCTTAACTGCTAAATAGTGAAAAGGTCTAAACTGCGACACCTATTTTCATATTAAAAAGCACAATTTGTCGGGGTAATTAGTACATCTATAGGTCACTGAGGCACCTGCACAGCACTTATCTGCTTATTACAAATATTAAAAAAATTGATACACTTTACTTTACTTTACTTTACTTTATCCAGCGTAGGGTCGCGAGATCAGAAATCTCTTATAACCCCCTCGAGGTCTGACACCCAATGATTATTATCCGGTATAACAGTATATAATTTGTTTTTCATAACCTTATCGAGTCTGTTTTTTAGCGAATTCAGCGTTGGTGAACATACCACAGAATCTGGTAATTTATTCCATTCTGGTATTACTCTTAATGAGAAAAAATGTTTTCTTAATTCCTTTTTACATGATTTTATTTTCAACTTCATGGAATTTCCTCTGATGTGATGATTATCAAGTTGTGCTTTTTCAAAAAATACATTATAATCTATATCTTCCTTCCCATTTAATAATTTCCATGCTTGTATGATATCACCTCTAAATCTTCTGTAAGCCAAAGTAGGAATTTCCAGAATTTTTAATCTTTCTACATACGATAAATTTCTAATACATTGAACCATTTTTGTTGCTCTTTTTTGAACTCTTTCGATTGCTTCAATATCTTTTTTAAATCTTGGACTCCAAATAATATTTCCATATTCAAGGTGTGGTCTTATAAGTGTTTTATAAAGTTTCCGAAATTGCTTGATATTAACATGTAAGAAGGTATTTCTGACCAATCCAGTTATTTTATTTGCTTTATTGATACAATTACTTATGTGATGTCGAAATTTCAAATCTTTATCATATAATATACCTAAATCTCTTTCTTCCTCACTAGACCTCAATTGTTTAGTTGTAAAGTCACTTTTCATAAAATATTGATGTTCCGTATTATTGTGTCCATAATGAATAACACAGCATTTGTCTACATTAAATTGCATTAACCACTTTTCACTCCATTGTATTAAACTATCATTGTCATTTTGTATTTGGTTAAAGTCTTCATTTACATTTGCCAGGTTAAATAATTTGGTGTCATCCGCAAAGAGACGCAAGGTACTTTTAATTTGACTTTCAATGTCATTAATGAATATAAGAAACAATATTGGTCCTAAAACACTTCCCTGTGGAACACCACTTGTTACACTACAATAGTCAGATTTACTATTATTAACAACAACACACTGAGTTCTGTTTGTAAGGAATGCTTTGATCCATGATAAAAGTGCACCACCAATACCATAAGATTGCAATTTAAGTATTAGTCTAGAATGTGGAACCATATCAAATGCTTTTTTAAAGTCATAATACAAACAATCAAAATTTCTGCCTTCATCTAACCAATCTGTCCACTTTTCCATGACTTCTAGTAACTGAAGGGCACATGATCTAAGCGATCTAAAACCATATTGGGCTGCAGAGAAAAAGTTGTTAACATTCATATAGTCTACAATAATATTCCTTATTATTTTTTCCAACAATTTACAGGGTATACATGTCAAACTAATTGGTCTATAATGTCCTAGTGAATCTTTACTTCCTTTTTTAAATAAAGCTTTGATGTTCGCAGTCTTCCAATCCATAGGCAATATTCCAGTTTCTACAGATTCAGTAAATATAAGTGTTAAAGGAGAAACAATTGATGTCCTCAACTCTTTTAAAACCCTTGGGTGAAGCAAATCTGGACCACAAGATTTATTAACATTTAAATTCTCAAGTAGCTTAGTCAATAATTCTCCGCTGAAATAAATGTCATTTAATGTATTTCCACCCAGGGTTCTCACTAGGACTTTAAAACATGGAGTCCATGGACTCCCAACCCTGAAAAAGTTGGAGTCCAAAAGGGCGTCGCAATTAATATGTTTACCGATTAGTCATTCAATGCTCACAATAGCATTGCTGATATTTTGAATCTTCAAGAGACTTCCAAAGTTTATAGTTATTCAAAAGAAACTCTGAACTACATAGTATAATTATTGTTTTGTTGTTGATATTTATTATGAAATTATTTCATTATAATGCATCAACACATGGAAATCGTTTGTTTGTTGTTGTTTTTTTTCACTTTTATACCAAATCAAATTTTATTCTGGTTAAATAAGTCCACTCTAAAGACAAAAAGTTTATATTTGTAAAAAAAAACGTAAATGTATATAGGCAGCGTTTAGCGGAATGAATAGGAAAATCGTGTACAGCTTCAAACAGTGTGTAAGAGATTCATCCGATCGACAATTATTTTAGCAAATATCTTCAAAAGGGGGCAAATTGAAGATCGATATTTAAAGATTTAATGTTGATTAAATAATAAAGGAACAATTCATTCGCATGTTTGGCTTGGAAACCTAGAAATTTTTGCGAAATTTTAGGGTTTCTGGCGATCGTGAAATCGCCGATGTTCGGGATCAATTTTTGGATAGAATCTAAATATCTGACACAGAAAAGCGTATGTGTATTTTGGTTTGTTGTCCTGGCATTTCGGCACAATATCTTAAATTCTTAATAGTCTTATCGAAAGTTTTTGCAAGAATGAAACTAAAGCAAAATTGTGCATAGAAAATGCCGAAAATATTCGACAATCATTCAAAATTACACTCATTTGTCATTTGAGAAACAGTTGCGGCGTAAATAGTCGATAATTTTATCCTTTTGTCGGTAAAATTTGCTAATTTCCAATCAACTGTTGATCAAAGATATAAAATTATCACCTCGTGTTATATCTGGTAATTACATGTACTGTACAGCGCGTGTATACATTAATAGTCTGATCACTATTGCGTGATAATGATCTTAAGCGTTATCGCTGATTGGCTAATCGCTTCACGGGTCGATGTGCATAGGACCGCCTACCTATAGACTGACACGCGCTGACGCATTTGTGTATTTCTGGTTGTAAACAATCGGTAATGTTTATGCGTCCCCAGGCAAAATTAAGCGTACGTGGAATCCTTGCTCTGAAATATTTGCGTCCAGCTGTAATAAACATGCGTACCGGGACGCCGAAATAAGCGTCCCCGAGAACCCTGCCACCACTGCGATTTGTAATATCTGGAAGATTGTTATTATCTTCAATTTGAAATACACTTTTGAAGAATTTATTAAGTTCATTAGCTTTATCTAGGTCACTTTCTGTATAAGTGCCATTTTCACATTTTAAATGAGAAATACCACTTTTTACTTTCTTCTTGGAGTTTGCATATTTATAAAAAGCCTTTTGATTATCTTCTTCTGATATTTTCTTTTCAAAATCTGACCTTGCTTTTCTACATTCCTTTGTTGCAATATTTCTATTGTTACAATAGTTCAAATAGTATCTAAGTTCTTTTGTTTGTTGATATCTATTCCATGATTTATGTTTTCTCTTTACAGCTTTCAAGGCTGTATTTGTCATCCACAAGGGCCTCCGTTTATTGAACACACGTTTAAAATTTCTTCTAGGTATGTGTTTATTTACACTATTTTGAATTTTTTCTTTAAAAATTAACCATTTATCCTCCAGACTTTTGTGCTGAAATTCAATACTCCAATTGATTGAACTCATTTCAAAATTTATGGAAGCGTAATCACCTCTATCATACATAAAGTTCAATTTATTTGGTTCTTCAATTTGCTCTACATTACATATAATGTTAAAAGTCAACAGTATATGATCACTTTTACCAACTGGTGGAAAGTGTTCCAATTTTTCAATTAAAAACTCTTCATTAGTAAATATGAGGTCCAAGGTGCTAGGATTCTGGCCATTTCGAAATCTTGTGTGAAAATTCACTATTTGATATAAAAAACTATCACGTACTGCTTCGATGAATTCATGACTACTATGATTTTCAGGCATATTAGAAATCCAGTTGATCCAATCAATCTCACGATAATTAAAGTCAACCATCACAACTATTCTACTGTGAAAACTGTCTTTTAAACAGCTAAACATAGTATTTAATTCTTTGTGCTGATCGGTGAGTTATAAAAATTATCATGTCATCTGTTTGAGTACCTTTTTTTTCGTACGCAAGTTTTGTAGATATTTAATTCTACTAAAGAACGTTTGTTCTCGTCCAATGTCTTCAAGTCATCAAAAATAAATAGATAAAATTAAAAGCACATATTTGCATCACTTTATGGGAGCTGACATCTTTTTTGACTGTACTACAAATCTTTAAACCAGCAATAGATATGCCAATACTACAAAACCAAACCAGTCTGAAAAAGGATTTGACTAAAACATTACCTGTTCTATAATAAGTTGCCATCCATCCATCCATCCATCCATCCATGTAATTTCCACCCCATCTGCTAAATACTACTCAAACAAGTCAAGTTCTATCTCAAACCAAGGTCTTACAGTTTGTATAGCAGTTATCTTTAATTTTAACATATAGATTTAGTTTTGACTTTCAAAAAATAAAAATAAAATATAATAAGTATCCTCCTCATCGGCAAGAAAATTTTGAACATGTGACAGGCTAAAATGGTCTCAGGTCGATCGTAAGGTAGCGTGTAACCAACGCTGAAAAGCCCAATCCATTGAGAAGTTGCAGCACTTTGAAATCATTTTTGATGGGAAAAAACAATGCAGAATAGTGATTTTTGGTTATTTTGAGACGTCCCCCCGTTCCCATGGTAACAGGAATTTAAGATTGAGCTTGCTGTTACAGAGGCTATGGTCCAGCTGGGACATAAGATAACTTTTGTATATACTACAAAAACACTCGTCAAAAGTCAAAATTTTCATCTTTGAAAAGTGAGTTTGAAGTGCTAAGACTAAGCTTGCCTTACATCTTGTGCTATGTGTAAAAAAACTAAATAATAGTCCATTTTTTCATTGCCTCTTGTTTAAAATCTGGTTGTTTTGAGTAAAATTTCCTAATTATTTGCCAATTCGCAAGTAATGACCTGTTTATTTCTGGTCTTCATCCTTGCCATATTCATAATTACCCAAGTATAATGCAACAATTGCAAACATAAAGCCCCGGCTAACAAATTTATACCCGATTTTTCAAATATCCTGGAGTTCTTGTGATAACTCTGAAGATGTCCTAGAGTTCTTCTCGTATTATAATAACTTTTGTTACTGCCAGCGTGTTTCTTGCGCTAAATCACGGCACGTTTATTCAATTAGGTTGTAAATCATTATGAAATGTAGTACGCCCATCCTTTGCACAAAAATGAGAATATATAATGTTGGTCTTTAGTGTCTGCAAAGGATAAACAGGTGATAGGCTATCATCTACAGAACAAAATGATCAGCGGTCACCGATATTCATGCAGCAGTGTTATGACTTTAACCGCAAAACAAAAATGTCTCAAAACTTACACGTTGTTCTCAGTTACACATGTTTTAAGCAATCACCTTTCATATACATGTAGTTGTGTTTCCCTTATCTAAGGGTTAAGTAATTTGTATCATTTTATACCATAATAAACAAGTATATAACAAGGATAATCTCCACTACTATGTCTTCAAAAGTACGATACATGATAAAAACTCAATTGCACTGTACTTGGGAAAAACTTAAGACTTTCAATGTAAGGCGCTGCTCTTTTAACCGATGGCAAACATCCTTATTCAGTTGAAGGTTTTGAAACGAACACTTCCGTTGGTTTCAAAAGTAATTCCAAAAAGATTTTAATATGTTTTGGATAGTAGATGGGCATACATTTGATAATGAACGGTGTTCAGGTAGAAAATTCTTTAGTTTTCGTGATGCCCTGTCACAGATCATCTATAGCATGTATTTCCAGCAATAACAACTAAGACTGAACATACAGAGCATCATCTTAAACGCTTGCTCTGTCATTTAAAAACCCTCTTAGAATTGAGGCAAACAAAAATTACTGCAATAATTGTCTTGACATTTATCAATAATTCGAAAAACTATGATGGATGAGCAGAAATAATGTAGACCTTTGCTGTAAATGTTATATAGTTCAATATTCCCTATCATCATGAAAAGTATGACGTATAGATATCTTATTTAACAACTGAGAAACTTCCTCAGGGAACTTTACCGAATAGGAAGTTAAGGCACTTGCTGTGAACTGACTGATTTTTTTGTTTTAAATATTTTTTCTGGTCCTTCGTGGTTATTAATTCCAGCACGTTAGTGTTGAAGACTGGATACTGCTTAAGCCGGTGCTAGGGGACGCGATAATCTTGATTAAACACAGGATTTTGCTTAACTTATGAAGTACTTTCTTTAGAAATAACATGCATATTTGATGTTTTTTCACATTCACTTCATTATTTTAAAATGGGTTAAATTTTGTATAAAATTGCCATTCATTAGTGATTTCCTTCTTTCTTTAAAACAATATTCAACCATTAAATATATTTTAACTTATAAAAGTAATAGCTCATTTGTTTAAATTATTTAGATTGTAACATTAGAACGTAATGGCAGGTTTATTGGCCCGGTGCCGCAAATAATATCTCCAAGAGCTATTGAGTGGGCTCTTGGGTTAAACGGATGGGGGGGGGGCTATTTTTTTGTACCGGGCAATCGTTAACTCTGACCCCTTGGGTAATAGCGGAAACTTTGACTTTTGGTTGATAATATTGTAAAGGGCTTGCTGTAGGCCAACATGGCTCATTTCCCAACCTCCTCGTCAAAGTTAGGGAAGCCCGGGTGACGATTGATTAATAATTAATTAATTTGAGAAATGGCTAATAGTAAATGGTCGAACTTGGTCAACAATTCGTAACTTGGTTGTCACAAGATTGCCAAAGTAGAGACCTGGTATATACAGGTGCCATGCAAAGTTAACAACATGTAAACAAAACACCAAAAGCAAGCAATATTAAACAAGACATCCATTTTATTAGTAACACTTTATATATATGGACATGGAAGGAACGTTACTTTTACTGGAAAATAGATAACATAACATAAAAAAACTCCTTAGAAGTAAAGGATGTCAAGGAATTGTTTAACAATATTTGATTTTTAGTACAAATGTAAATATAACAATTACATATGAGATTCGGTAAAGTGAAAATAAAACACACTTTGAAATGTATTTCTAGATGCTCTGTTTATTCGTTAACAAATGATTACGCATGCATGGTTCAAAGGAATAAAAGTAAACATATATGTTTTTCAAGACATTAAAACAAATTATTTTTCAATCATAGTGAGCTAGAAGATGTAAAAAGGTAATAATGTGCATGTTTACTTTGTTAGATAAAAACAATAAGAAATGACAAAAACATGCCAGTATCACTATCAAATGTACAGTTCTTGATATCATCGATTACAATTCCGTAAATAACTAAAGAGTAGTAAATGGACATGTTACATAAGAATCTAAAACTGCAATGGACGCTTGAGCATCTACAGATAATTACACCCGTTGAAGAAAGTCTTTAGTTAATAAGATGTAGCCTTGAACAAATACATCAGAAGCATGCTAATCCCAATATGCAACATGCTACCATACACATGTCCTGAAATAATGAATAAGTATAGAATTCAAACATTTTACATTCTATCAATCAAAACTAGCAAATCAATTTGTATATTCATCTACTTAGAGTTAATTTAGATTTTAATTATATTAAGCAAAGACAGAAGCATACACTACATCCACTTGATGTTGGAAAAGAAATACAACAGCCGGTCGAACCGGGTGATGCTCCCCAAATAAGTGTTGGACACAGAGAAGTTGTTTCTTGCTGATATCTCTTGTAATTTCAGAGTTATGTCCCTGACAAGAAAAATGCGGACGGACGGACAATGCTGCGACTACATGCTTCCATTCAAGGAGCATAAAAATTGAAATTTAGAATTAAGGATTACTTGCGTTTTATTCAAAATACGCAAATAGAATATAGTTTTACATGAATAACTGAGAATTTAAAGTTCACCAAAATATGTCTTGATATGCCGCTTGAGTTGGCTAAAGGACATAATTGCTCTATCATTATTGATTTATAGGATTTCTAAAATGTCCACCAGTTATATAGAGATAGTAATCCATATAAAACAAATATTGATAAAATATTACCTGACGAAGACCTGTCAGAGCACTTAGCACATCCGGAAAAGAAGTGTGATTCGTCAGAGGCATCGTCACAATCCACCTGTCCGTCACATCGGAATGTGAGGTCGATGCACTTAATGGCCCCTGCAGCACATCCGAACTGTGTCACATTGTCACATCCCTGTTTATAATTTAAGAAATGTTCATTCATACAGGACTTTAGATAACTAGCAACAATTTTGGTGTGCATGTATACACGGAGTAAATGACGAAGATTGACGGAGTAGCACGATAGACATAATACCGAACATATTCGAATTTTACAGACATTGTTTTTGAGTGATTGTTTTTGTTTTCTTTATCAATGCAATATTTTTTTTTGAGAATAAAATGAACAAATATCTGATGTTTACACCAAAGTAAAGAATGTTATTTTGATTCCTCAAAAGGGAGCTTAAAACAAAAAAATCAAGTCATTGATAGTTTCTTCAAATCAAGTTGGGAACTTTGAATAACATAAAATAAGGTCTGAACCTTCAATGTAGACAATACTTTTTGAATTTGCGCGAGTTGTAAAATTTTGCATCTTTTCATTAAGATTGTCACTATTTGTATACATGTATATCCGGTTTGAATTAGAGTGGGAAGTAACGTGTTTGCTGCCTTTGTTACAATTTAAAACATTTGCATTGTGATTTTTGTAATTATGAATTTTACACGTCACTTGCCTCGTTAATAATATAAGCCACGAGTGTTTATGAAGGTATTAGGAAGACACCAACATGCAGCGTATTGTTCCAAACATTGTCATACTTTGACATTCTTAAACATCGGCTTTTTTCCATGACCCAATTATAGATTAACATATAAATATTATCCGTATACTTAAGTACATGTATAAGGAAGTATTTAATAATACGTCAAAAAGAAAAGATCTGTTTTCAGATGCTCAAAATTTGCAAAAAAATATTAAAAGTACTCGCCAGGTCGATATTTCCTAACATCGAAGGCAAACAGTACGAGCTTATGGTACACGTGTCGTTGTCCTGGTCACTTCCGACACAATCGTTGCCACCATGTTGTGCTGGAGGATTGTCACATGACCTGTTACGGAACTGGAAACCCGAGCCACACGTGACAGTACAGGAACCCCAATTACCCCAGTCACTCCAAGCGCCATTGACTGTACAATTATAACAAGTAATAACGCAATGATTTAATATTTACCACTTAATTAAAATATGTCGGATTATATCATAATAAAGTTTTTTTAAAAACTCAGACTTTTCTTCAATGACATGTTGACTTATACAAATGAAACACTCGCCATACATACAATACAATGTAATACTGTGTAATAATAATAATAATAATAATAATAATAATAATGATGATGATAATAATAATAATAATAATAATAATAATAATAATAATAATAATAATAATAATAATAATAATAATAATAAAAATATAATAATAATAAATAATAATAATAATAATAATAATAATAATAATGATAAAAATATAATAATAATAATAATAATAATAATAATAATAATAAAAATGAAATAATAATAATAATAATAATAATAATAATAATAATTATAATAATAATAATGTGTTCTTGCGCTGCAAATGTGAATGTTTATTTAATTCTTGTAATCAAATTTGAATAACGCTTATGTATATAAACTTAACCTAAGAAAGTATCGTAATGTCTTACTTTGATTATATCATTTTGAACTTGTAAACAGTTTGTTAAAGGTCAAAACCATTTATTTATCTATTTATGCGAGTGTTTATATATTATTTTCAAATTAAAATGAATACGTTTGTACATGAAATCTATTAAATGTGTAAACCATTTCCTTAGGCTTCGTTGAATGCTCAGTAAAATACCTTCTAATTTTACATATACCTTGTAAATATACAGATTTATCGGAAACCACCTATGTTTCTATGCAATACGCTAATTTCCTGAAACAGTTTATGCTGTTTGAATTGTACATACCTGGACATGGATTGGATGGTCCTGTGCAGGAAAGGCTCTCTGTTCCAGAGCCGACACAGTCGAGACCGAAATTCGCTGGTGCTGGGTTGTCACAGTTACGAGTCCTCTCCTTTGTACCGGACTGAGAACCACACGTGGCTGAACACGTACCCCAAGTAGCCCAGTCACCCCATTGTCCGTCAACTTTTGAAATAAATATGACGTTATAAGTTCTAATGCACATCTTTTGTATTTATATATATATTTGACGAATGGTTCTCCCAAGACGCAGCTTTTAACACGTGTAGCAATGTCAGACTATATGCCAAATAGAAATGTAAATATGATGGATCAATAAGTTAATGAAGTTCATTTACCCCAAACTCAAAAAAAAATCTGGTTTGCAGTCTGCAAAAAAAAATCCTTAGAATTGTCGCTCGAGTAGGTTTAAAAGGTTTAAAACAAACAAAAGGAAAACAGTGCAGTACGTAAATAATAAACTTGGCTTTTGGGGCAATAACCAAATCATCGATTGGGTTTTAACGGCTTAAAACAAAACAAAAGGAAAGCAGTACAGTACATTAATAATAAATTTGCCTCTTTGGGAAAATCCAAATCCTCCATCGGGTTTAAAATGGCTTAAAAGACAACAAAGACAGTTCAGTTCATAAATAATAAACTTGCCTCGTGGGGCAAAAGAAAAATCCTCTTTTGTGTTTAACAAGGATTAAAACAAACAAAAGGAGAGCAGTACAGTACATAAATAATAAACTTGCCTCTTGGGGCAATAGCTAAATCCTCGTCAATAGTACCATCACCGTCGTCATCGATACCGTTATCAGTTTCTTCGTCAATCCTTCCATCACAGTCATTGTCAACACCATCGCCTGCATCCGTTGAAGTTGGACTACACGGCTAGAGTCAGAATACAGAATTTGATTGATTTTCTAATTATGCTAATAATGCTATAAATATGAGTCAGTTTTAAAAGTTTTGTATTTCTTGTGGTAGAAAAGTTATCCGCCCGTTTAAAATTTGTGGTACTTAGTCAAAGCTAGACAGACTCGCATATACCATACATTCGTTTCCTATCACTTGCAAAGGAACAAAAAATACATTTTAATTGTCATATTGATCAAAATAACAAATTACAATGGATTGAAATAATTACTTATGCTCCTTAAAGTGACATTATGCTCATTCTTTTATTGCCAAGTGTAACACAATTCTGTAAAGTTCAAAAGATTGACTGTTATATTGGTGATTATCTAACAGCTTATATTGGAAAATGTTTGGAAAAATATGAATTTGCCTCATTATAGACTGCCTCATCTTTTTTATAAAATGAACGTTACAGGTAAATCAATTCAAGAAGATATTTACAGAAATTTACTTAGGCCACGTAGGATATCTATCGTTCATGCGAAGTAAGGTATGAAATTGAAAGAAATCATTGCAAACTTATTGAAAACAATTATGGCAAACTTATTTTGTCTGTCACCCGTTCACTCAATATATACCCTCGGATAGCCATAATACCACTATAAGGAATTAAGATATCATTATGCGACAATCAACGGAAGTTAACTACTAGTATAATCCCATTAACTACTCACAATATATTGAATGTGATTAACAATTTAAATAATATTTATAACTGAGTTGTATTTGTCTACAACTTCACATATATAACTTACCAAATTAATAGGAGCAAGGCGCGTTCCGGCTGCATATGCATAGGAATTATACTGAGCATTTCCATAGGCTATTCCAAGAAATGGATGAGCTGGTACAGTATTGTAAATATTGTGAGAGCCAGGACTGACGCTGACAAATGTACCGATGTAATCACTGTTGCCAAGAACATCTACCCAAGTAGCAGTCATATTAGCGTTATCTAATACAAGGTCATCAGCATAATCTCTCAAGGTGACGACGATGATGTAATTGTTAAAGTCGCCAGATGTAGTAGTTACTGTACTCCACGTGTAATCGGCGTGATACAATTCGACTGGGGCGCAAATTGATATAGCAGGATCTCCACCATTTACTCCATCATTTGTATATGATTTACCGATAGTTTTACTGTAAACAGCCACTTGAATTCCCTTCGAAGCATTCACCCAGGTGTATTGATTTTGAGGAAAATTATGGATATCATATTCGTTCGCTTGAAGAGTGTGATCAACACCGTCCACAGTGTAGATCGTGTTATCTTCGGAGGCAAAAATGCGTACGAAGTCACCAATAACACGTTCTGGTGATGGGAAAGTGATGAAATTCTTTCCCCAGCTTTGTGTTGGGACCAGTTGCTCGACCAAATGATCTGATGTTATTTCAGTATTTGTATCTATAGTACGGTTTGATTTTGTAGTTCCCCAACTGTGCAATTCCCGTGGTATGAGTTTACTGTTGAAGTTATTCTTTTGACCGACTAGATCACTAAAGCACTAGTAAAATGGAAATGTTTGGATCGATACTAATTGTTATTGCAATATGAGTTGTTCCTGCACGCTGCATTAAGTACCCCTTTATGAAACGAAGTTCTGCATAACTTGTTGTGATATTTGAAATGACACATCTGTCCCGTCTGACGTAACAGCAGCTACCATTAAATTTCAGGAATCAACAGAAGATAACGCCAACCGTATACTCAATTGCCTATTGCAGTTCGTTCGAGGTACTATGCTACAAACCATAGTCCAGGTAAGAGAACTTATCTTATATTTACAGCATAAACGGTTATTCCTCTGTTGAAAATACAAAGTTACTCCTAAGCCAAGCAAGCTTTACCCCTCACCACGGATTAATAGCAGGAATATTCAGTGGAGTTATGGTACCCCGACTAACAGTAAGTTGTTGCAACCAGGTGGCGGCGTCAAATAATGGCGTGGTTACATTGACCTATAAAAATACATTATCATGAAAATGTAAAGAACCAAGTTTCTGTGGTGCGATGTATGTGTGCATTAGAAGGAAGATTGTTATTTCCTTGTCTTCCACTAGCTTTTTTTTTTAAATTACGAGACTTGAAATATCTTTTTCAAAGATAATTACCCCATTTGATGAGGTTTAGATCAATTTGTTGCGTTCAAAATTTCAGATCATTTACTCTCTACGTTTTTCAAGAATAATTATTAAAAAACCGATCCAAAAATGATCCAAAACTGAGTTGTAACGCCTTTTTACTCAAAGCGGACTACTATTTCATCGAAACACGATTTTCAACTTTATTCGGAATACATTTTCCTAATCATATTTTTCTTGTTTTGTTAAAATTATATTGTAAGAAATTCAAATTTATTTGGTTTTTTATGCGTTTGGATCTCAGGTGTAGTTCTTTTAAGTCTACAGTTAACCTGGGTCATTTAAATTTCAGTTGACGAAACATACAAAATCTTGAACACATGCTTCCAAAAAAGGAGTTTACAGCTTAAACTGAAGAAAATCTTTTTCTCAAATGCTTAAGCGAAATTAAACGATTGGATCTTAAAAGTTTAGAACCTTAAAAAACAATTACGCTTTTGGAGAAGTAACAATTTTTTAATATGAAACCGATTTATATACTAGTAACTATTTTTAATAGATTAAAAAACATAAAAACTAGAATATTTTATCATTTAAGACCACAAACGTTTTTGTATTAACATAATTATTTGTATATTGAATATTTAAACAATGAAATATCGTTTTTTTTCAAGCTTTAGGTATCATGATATGTAACATTATTCTCCGTGTTGCTTTTTTTAGTGCCAAAAATGCCAGATAATTATATATACTTTAGAATAAATGTAAAAAAAAAAAAAAAAACAGAAAAAAACCGGCCCCCCAAAAACAAATGTAATTTGTGGGCATATATATATTTTAGCTTCAACGTGAAACTTGGGATAAAATGTTGGCTTCACTCAATGTTTTGTGCAGACTGGGCATTAATGTTTTGAGTTAAATATAGCAATCCATTTGTCTTACCTGTGCATCTACATTTGATGTTGTAGTCATAAAAACTTCGATGTTCAAATGATGAGCCGCAGAATAGTATTTGGTTGTCGATGAAACAGAGCATAAACTCCATTTCTTCCCATGTTATATAAGGCCTGAAAAATTAAAACGTCAATATATACCTTATCCACCCAAATATGACCATGCCGATACATTCATAATTTGTCTCAATGACATATTTGAAACTATCAAAGAAATAAGTCTACACTAAACAACGAAGATCTTAATATATAATTACTATAAACCCGTTGGTAAAACCTAGTTTTAATATATATTATCTCCTATTATCTCAGTCAAGTTCAAGTTAAGGAACAATTGTTATTATTACAAAGGACTCTCACTAAGGCCCCTAGAATATAGCTATTTCTATCATGGACCACATTTTGGCCTATATGGGACCTATATGGGTCCATTGCGTCCATTGGGCCCATTAGAATGTGCAACCGCGGTTCCAAAATGGTCCATTTCTGGCCTAGCTTAGACTCAAAGCTAATGGGAATTTCAATGTGCCCACATTATGGGCAGCCCATTTTACACATTATGGGGCCCCACATGGGCATGCCCTTGTATCAGAATATGTGGTTGCAAATGCGCAACAGCCCAACTACTCCATTCAGTATGGGGTATATTTAGTAATTCCGACTGGGTTAGAATCTATTTTTCAATTACTTCAATATAACGTTTGCTGGACGTCTGAACACAGTGTATACCAATTACCGAGCTTTGCTCACAGAGAGCCTGATTCTTGTACTGCATTAAATATCTCAAGTGCATGTTGTAACTGCATGTTTCCTGAACAGACAGATTATGGCACAAAGCCTATTATTATCATGCAAGAAAACAATACAACAATGATATGCTTTAACAATGTAACTTTATTTATGAATCTCACTTATCGGTAAGTGTAGTATTCAATATATACAGGCTCTCAATACAGTACATGTATGACGCCTCCTGAAATGTCAAACAAAAGAAACCTTTATCTTAAGTAAATAAACTTAGAAAAAGCCATGTACTATATAAATATCGGGAGCTAAACTCGTACATATATTTGTTATAATGCTCATAGCATTATCATTATGTTGAAACTAAATAGCTTTTTTCATTCAAAAATATCAGAAATAGTTAAATATTATTCAAAAATCCTATCGAGTTAAATTATCACTCTTCGATTACACTATATAACAATAACACACATGTAATATGGGAAAAACTGTTCTATAATAGGTACGAACAAATATAACATTAAAAATGCAGTTTTTGAACTGTATATTACATTAGATTACCTTCCACACTACAAGAGGAAAAAATAAACTCAACTACGCTAGGACACGCGTAAATACTTTACCAGAAAGTCTTGCGACTCCATAAGATAATACTATGCTCAATGATAAATTTCAGGAATCAAAACAGTATGCACACCCAACTTTCTTTTTTAACTTTCTACATAATTCTCATTAGAGAAAAGTTATTATACTTTCTGTAAATTCATTACAACATTTTCTATTCTACCTAATACTTCTATCATTTTCAAATGATATAACATACATCCACATTAATATAAAAAGATATGTACATAAACATTATTACACTTTGTATGGTTCGCTGAAGAAAAAAATGATCTGCGCAAGCTCGTGAAAAGTTTGCTAAAAATATAGATTAAATACTCAAAACCTTGGCACAGTTGTAATTTCCCATGTCATAGATGAGTGAAACAAAATACTATGGCAGCTGATGAAACAAAAATTAACTAATACTTATACCCCACCTTGGCACCGGGTTTTTAATACTGGATGTATTATAAGACGTCGTGGACAAAATTATGACAGCTAATGAAAAAGTAACAACCTTAATAATTATACAAAATCTTGGTCACAAATTGATAATTATCTGTTTATAGACATTGTTACAACAAAACAATAGCAGCTGATGAAAAGTAGAAAAACTAGTTACCCTTACAATTCTTGTAAAATCAATATAATTTAAAATGTGTAGTATATACACAAAGACTTCAAATTTGTTTGTTGAAGAAATTCATTTAAAAAAATTGTTCACGCAGTAAAAAAATAGATCTCTTCCAGTAATTTCTCCATATTACAACTTTAGTTTTCACAACAATAACAACAATAAATTATTACAAGAGATCCAGTCATTGTAAAGATATTACAACTATATTAACATAGGTTCTACACCTATGCAAGTACATGTTTCCACTGTTGCAGTGACAAAGTTTCCCCAAGATGTTATAATTGTATTGATCAGATCAAAAACATTCCCAAGCATTTAATGCTTGATTTAAATATAACAATGTATTTTTCTTGTTGTTTCATTTACGCCTTTTTCTACGTCATCTAAAGCGAGAGTAGCTTTCCTAACCATCGTTTCTGCGAGAGAGAGTACACACCCCAGTACTAGGCACTACCCTTTCTCTCCGATTGCAGTAACCAATTTTTAATTAAAAAAAAACATACAAACAGCATTAGACAACAGAACACAACAGATATAAAATAGCAACAGCACTAACGTAACATACGCACGCAGAATATACTGACCTAATAAGGGCAATAATTTGACGTAGGACAAGAATTTTGCAACTTTACAAGAATAGTACATGCTTATGCTGATGACCTTACATCTAAACATAAGCAACAAAAAAGTATAACAGATATAACAAATGAGCCAGGCTTACTGTAGTTCTACGCTATATCACATTATAAAAAAATACCATGATACATATTGACTTCGCATCAAGTGGTGGACATAACTGATACTGCAGTACCTTGAAAATAAAGGTTTGAAAAATTTAAAATTAAAAAGTCATTTCATTTTATAGCTTATTGATGTATTACTGATATTATCCTCCCCGTTTGAATAAAATGATTAGATAATTAACACGTGATAATGATTTACAAATTTCACAAACTTTCTAAACAGAGAAACACTAATACTAATAAATTAACAGATTATAATATATATAATATACATTTTATATGACTATAATTCAAAACCCAAATGTATCAAATGACTGCAAATATCCGAATTGAAATAAGATCAAATATTAAATTTAATACAACACCAAGACTCCTGATTAATGAGAAATATGGACTAAAAAAACATTATATATGACAGTAATAGACTATAATACATAATATGAGATCTAACAATATAGAATATAAACGCACCACTAATATTTGATTCGTTGAGTGAAATAGATGTAATTTATAATCATATAGAAGAGAATATATAAAAAACAGTATATCTACAAACGAGCGACTAAGCCACTATAATATAATATCTATATCTTTTAAAGCTCTCTGATATACAATAAATTTCATCTCACACACAAACAACCAAAATAATCCTCTATAATTGCATTATTTAAATAAGTAAACACTGTCTGTCCCAAATAATATAACAAATATCTTTATCAAAAAACTTGGATCTCTCGACACCTATGTTTACATGAACTTCCCCTCGCAGTACCAGTCACACATATATATAACATACTATAATATTCACTACATGTACCTTTTCACAATTTAGGCCTCAGACACCAACTACGTGAGAGCTAATAATAAGCATCCATCTTACTTGGACAGTCTATTCTACCACATTAGCACAAGACCCATTCTGTATCCTTAATAGAATATGTACTATTGACACAACATTGATGAAACATCATCTCTCACAAATAAAGGTATCATAAGCCAACCATCAGAGGTCATAAGCAATTTTACTGAGCAGTATAAATTGGCAACGATATTAACACTAATGTCATCGATGTAATTACCAAATATAGATGTTTGTTTCCTGTGTTACTTTACTATTAAGGCATTGCTTATAACCACCGTATATTCACGTATTCATAAGTAATACCATGCCATGATCAAGCTTGTTTACGCCATGAAGTTCAAGCAATCATTTTATCACTCGCGTTGTTCAATTTAAGGCAAATGCTTCCAGTAAGTATAGCACAACAATATAGCTTTGATTCATTAGGATTAGCGCATTTTCTAGCTTTACAGTTACAATGTTTATTGAAAACATACAGCAACTAGCTATTTGCAAAATCAAAACCACACTAGTCATGCTTAACTCATATTTCTCTTTTATAGCAACAGTCTAAATATTCTCTCCATTATAGTGCCAGAACAGCATTGTATTTCCCTTTCTATTTTTAACGCACTATACACCAACGAAGACACACATTTAACGAACGATCTTGCAATTATAAGCAAATATTTTTTTACAAACACTCCATACTTTTCGCGCAAAATTCTGTTACACGAAGATTTTGCACTTCCATAGCCTATAACGTACTGAAACACTCAAGTATCTCAGGACCTCATAAAACTCTATTATCCCTCATCTCCCCTTCACATGCATCTTCGAACTAATCTGTGCAAACACCTCTCCAGTTCACTTTTGACACATTCAGGAATCTACATCGACTCAATTCTCGTCATATCTCAGCAAGCTTTCCTCCGTAATATCATTCCACTTAGAGTCACCCCATCACCCATAATTGATATTTAAGAGAACAAGCATGACTTTCTAAATAGCAAGGGCCAGAAACAATTTACTTTTCATATAATTGTTTGATAATTCAACAACTAGATTTAGATATAACGGTTACGATAGGGTGCCAAGTCATCCAGAATGACAAAATTTGTCAAACTGGGACCTTCCAAAGGACCGTTTTAATCGTATTTGCACAAGAAGACAAAACCATGTCTTTTCTATAGCGAACCGTTCGACTAATCCAATATATTTAATAAAAACTTCACATTTTACTACTATCACACAGTTGATCATTTTAACCAGTCACGATAGACAAACAGCACTTTCATGGTAATCTTGAGGTCTCACATTCTTAGTTTGTCCCACACCCGTGGTAGTGCTTTGGGCACTAATTATGTCACTATTCATTTTTTTTGTATCTTTCTTACTTTAACAGCAGATTAATATCAGTCATCGCAAGCGATTAAATTCGTTTAGTT